TTTGTTTCTGGAATGTTTATTCCTTAATGCTCTAGCAACCATTGTTGAAGAAACAGAGCAAAAAAACTCTGAGTTTTTGCAGTGAGGAGAGTAGACTGCACACATCATACATGTAAGTCACAGCTGACTGAGAAAGGGAAAAAGCCACAGAGGTGAAAGAGAAAAAAGGAAAACTATTAATTATTGTTTGTTTAAATAGTACTACTGTGCATGATGCTATTTAACTTATATATGAAACCACGAGGGGAGGTTATCTAGATGGGCTGAGGTACCACCACTATGCAGATGACACTTAACCATGCTTTTTCATAAAACCCAGGTGGGGCAGTGGCCATTCTAAATCAATGTCTGAGCAATGAATTATATGAGGGCCAATAAACTGAGGCAAGACGGAGGTACTGTTACTGGCTGATTCATCTGTCCAGTTGGGTGATTTTCACCCTGTTCTGGATGGGGTTGCACTTGCTCTAAAGGACAAGCTGCACTGATTGGGAGTGATCCTGGATCCAAAGTTGTCACTTGAGGCACAAGTGGACTCAGTGGTATGGAGCACCTTTTATCGGATTAAACTGATACGCCAACTATTACCCTATTTGGAAAGAGAGAGCCTAGCTACAGTGATCCATGCTCTGGTAACCTTTCATTTGGATGATCACAATGTGTTGCAAGGGGGGCTGCCTTTGAAAACAGTCCAGAAACTCCAACTGATTCAAAGCAGCGAGATTGTTAATGAGAACTGGCTCACGAGAACAAATTACACCAGTTCTCTTCCAGCTAGTACTAACTTTCAAAGCCCCAAATGGCTTGGGGCCAGGTTCTCTGAAGGATCGCCTCCTCCTATATGTACTGTACCTGCCCAGACCCTGAGGTCATCTTCAAGGATCCTCCTCCAGGACCCCCTTTCAAAGGAAGGAAGGTGGCTACCAGGAGGAGGACTTTTTGGTTTTATGGGATGTGTTCCCCAAAGAGGTGTGCCTTTTTATTTTTCCAGTATTTTAACAGTTTCACTTTTAGCTTTATTTTTATATACTCCATTGTATTCTGTACCGCTGCTATACAACTGTGCTGAATAATATACAATTACAATTGCTGTTATGGTTTTGTTCTTATAAATTAATTTTGTGTGTATGTTTTTAACTTTTATTAACTGTACAGAAAGCCTTGGCTATTGGGAGGTATAAAAATGGCATAAATAAGATGATGAAGAAGAAAGGAGAAGGACATGTATGGTGATGCAGAGGGAAAGTAACATACTATGAGGCACAGAAAGAAAAAACAAATTAAAAGGAATGCACAAAGTTAAAGTTTAACAAACACTGAATCACAGAGTAATAGCACTGGAATGGATCAATAAGGCCATCTAGTCAAACCCACTGCTCAGTACAGATGTTTTTCTTGCTGTTAAAATGGCATTGTCTTCTTCTGAAGACACCCTGATGATTCTCCACTGGTAGTCATGTTCTGCTTGCAAGCAGTCAACCATGCCCTAATCCATGGGTCCTCAAACTAAGGCCATGCTCATTTATCTAGCCCGCCTCAGAGCTTTGGGACTCACTCGGAGAAAACGATCTCCGAGAGAGTCCAAAAGCTCTGAGCCAGCACAGGCATTCTCTGAAACTGAGCAGAGAGCTGGCACGCGTGCCAAATTGTCACAGCTCAACTGTGCATGCGCCAGCTCTCCCCCCCTCCCCATTGCACACATATACAGAGTGGGAATACGGCGCAAGACGAAGACACTAAAAATGATTGAAGTTAAGAAAAATATAACTTTTAAAATCCATTTTTAAGTATGTGAGCCACATCCCTGGGTTGCAGGCCAAGCCACAGCCAATTTGCCGAGCCCAGGGGTGGACAGGCTGAGGCAGAGAGGGGCCACGGCTCCCACACCTCTGCCATAGCCTTCACTGGGCAAGCCGCCACCATTGTGTGACTGCCATGCTTCCCCCTGCAGCAGGGAGAGGCGGGAGGCGCCACGGCCCCATCCCTCACCTCAGAAAGAAGCCCTTACCTCCCTCCTCATGGCCCTCTCCTGGCCAGGGGAGCCACCCCGCGCTCACCTCTCCAGCCTCCCACTCCTGCTCCCGCTCCCGTGAAACCGGGGCAGCAGCAAGGACTATAATTTCCATCATGTCCAACCAGCATGGCCAATGGAAGTTGTGGTCCAACTCATCTTTTGGCAAGTTTGCACTAAAATATGGTAGTCATTAGCTCTGCATCCAATTACAGCCATTGTGTATTGTGGGAATTGTTCTGGGCTGACTTGCTTCATATACTAAGAGTGGCATGAACAGTATTTATCCTTAGTATTTTTGCTTCATTCAATGCCAGTTGCAGTCATCAGCTGCTTTATGCAAAATACTGTATTTAGTGCCTTGGCTGTGTTGTAGCTATGTCCCTTGAATATGGACATGCTCTTCCCCACCTTATCTTGGGCTTCTGCTGCAGCCCAAGGGAGTAGAGCAAACATTTTTATTTGTTTTAATTAATTTTTACATTTTGATTAATTTTTAAATTTATTTTAATTTTAATTAATTTTTAATGTGCAGTATGCATAGGAATTCATTCATATTTTTTTCAAACTATAGTCCGGCCCCCAACAGTCTGAGGGACAATGAACTGGCCCCCTGTTTAAAAAGTTTGAGAACCCCTGACCTAATCCATCGATAGTCTATCGATCTATCCTAAAGCTATTTCTGAACAATAGTGCGAGTCTAAGAACTAAACCAAGTTAATTTACAGCTAAAATATTATTTTTGCATGTAACAACAATCTAGTGGTTTTAAAACTGTTGGGTACACAAGGAGGTGCATTGCCCACAGCATACACTGTCTCTTCTATTTTTACCACACAATCCACATCAGCTCACCACAGGGCTGTTTAATCCTTAAACAATCAGTGGTTCGGGTTCACATATCACATTCCATATCCCACAAAAGATCTATTTGATACCATTTTTGGTGTACAGATTACTACAACTATTTATTATGCCAATAGAGATTTTTACTATTACCTCCTACAGCTATTTTCTTCTCTATGGTCTGGTCAACCTCTCTAGGAATCAAATCGATCACTTTAACCCGTTCCTTTCAAAAAGCATGTTTTACATGTCTCCCTCCCTCCCTCTCTTTCTAAATTGTGGCTATCAGGATGGGCAGATGGTGGGGAGGTATTGATATTGGGACTTAAGCAGGTAAGAGGGAGAATTTAGGTCTTTCTCTCTCAAACCATTGCCTCTGCAAAAATATCACAAACACCCTGACATTTGGAGCTGATGAAATGTGACCTGTCCTTCGGATTACAGACTATAACTTGGATTTCAGAGGTCTGGAAGCAGAGTTGCTGTTCCTTTTGCAACTGGGTGATCTGGCCAATAAATTTGTTGAAAGCCCACTCTAAAAAAAAGTTGTTTAGGCTGCCAGGCCTGCTGCCACATCCTACTGTTATCAATACAGACATTCCTCTTTGGCCTCTGCAGTTGACAGCTGTGTGGGAGAGGATAGGCAGTTGCACCTTTGGATTCGAAGGCTGAATTCAACCCAGAGGCCACAAGTTGCTAACCCCTATCCTAGCTCATATCAGATATATATATCAGATATGAGCTAGGACTGTGTCCTTGAAAACAAACAGCAATTTTCTCTAGTGAAAGAAGCTACTTTAACATAAAACATATTAATATGTGACAGACAACATAAGGGATTAGTTCTCTTCATCCCCAAATTAAGCTTTGGGCCACCCAATATCATACATTCGTCCAGGAGAGTGGCCTGTATAATTTGGCATTGATTTTTGCCTGGTCTGAAATTGTATGTGTGCACAGGGCAGTCAAGCATGCCAACGGTTACCAAAATGCATGGATAAGAATGTGGAACTGGAGCTAAACATCCCAATAAAGCTTTGGACCATCCTAAGACGTATACCCACACATCCAGAAGAGTCTCCATGCATCAGATGAGACTGAGTCCTCTTTGGCCAAAGGTTTGTGGGGAGGGGGGCAGATTGTCAAGCTTGCCACTACACCAGTAATAGCCAAAATAAATAGGCAAGAACTGGCACTGTATAACCCAAATTAAACGTTAGGCCAACTTGTACAGTCAATGCCGTTTGATAATTTTTGATAGCCCACAGCTTAATCTGGGCTACACAACCCCAGTTCCAAGTTTCTTTTCTGGCAATTTTGACTATTACTGGTGTGATGCATCTTATTTGAAATACATATGCCCTTGGATCAGGCAACTTGTCAAGGAAACTCTTCTGGATAAATAGGTGTATGATTCAGGGTGGCTCAGAACTTAATTTGGGTGCCAAGGACCTATTTCTTATCTCAAATTATGTGGAGTTATGGTACATCATGTGTAAATACACAGAGAGAGAGAGAAAGAGAGTTTTCACTGGACTTTTTGTTTTTCATCAAGCGGACTTCCAGTTCTGGAGATACAGTACATAACATGAGGTAGCCCTTGCTTAGTCTTGGCAGGCAAACTCTGATTTGGAATTTCAGGAAAATAAGGAACTGGGAAGGAGTGGCCAACTGCAGCACTGTTTCAGTACAATGCTTGACTGGGAACCAGTGACCAATTCCAGCATTGTTAGCTCAGTAGAGTAGAAAGCAAAACTTGAAAAAAAAATCCTGTACATATCCGAGAAGCCACACCCGGCAAGTACTCAAGAGGCCTAAACACTTTAAAGGCTTTCTCAGGAAGTGAACCAGGACTGTGCCTTTTCCTGCCGAATCTTCAAAGGGAGAGTAACAGATCAAATAGCTGAACAATTTAATCCACTTTCAGGCCAGAAAGAGACAACCACATGCAAAGGTGAGATAACTGACATTTGCCTAGTGATCTAACTTCCAGTATGCTCTGTTCAAGTCCATTATTTGTGCCTGTCGAAGGGATACAAGGAGAGAAACTCTGGAATCAAATCAGCCTCCTCAAACCAAACTTCCACTGGTTTGGTTCTCTCCTCCCAGGCTCTGAAAAAGTTTCCCTCAGGTTCTTACTTACCAGAGCCAATAAAACTGGGAAAAGCCCCAGTGGGACCATAGTTTGGGCAGCTCGTCCCTCACATCTGGAGGCAGGGTGCCTTGCTGCGTCACCTCTCACAGAGTCTTCAGAAAGGGAAGATAGTGAAACTTGCCTGTTTTGCAATCAAAGTTCCTTAGAGAGGAAGAAGCTAAAATCTGAGGGAAAGGGTGGAGACATGAATTCCCGCCCACATGCTCTCTTTGCCTTTCCACTTCCCTAGTTCCTAGGAGCGATTCGGCTGTGTCACATGGACAGTTAACCCATTCCCTCACATACTACCTCGTCCTGCACAGAGCCATAGGAAAAAGTACGTGGCTAGGCTTCTTTTTGCTTCATCTTCCTCTGTCCTGTCTTGTTTCAGGGAATCCACCTCAGAGAAACACAACATTTTAACATCACATTTTCTCTGCCCTTTTTTTTTTTTTTTTTTTGAGCGGGGGGCGGGGAGCCACACAAGTTGTCTATCACAAGTTACATGTACAATAGGTATGTATGTATTTCAGAAGATTGATAGAGGGCTCTGTAGTAGGAGCTGCCATCTGAAAGTCTCTAGTTTGCAGGCTGAATATGTGGCTATTAACAACAAGTTGATAGCCTTCTTGCAGCATTTCCTATGGCTAATCTCCAGGACAGCTCTGGAAAATAGATCATTATAGATAGGCAAATAGACAGACAGACAGACAATACTTATTGTGGGTGATTTTAATCATTGCCAACAAACCATTAAAGTGTGATCAGTGTGTGGGATAAGGTCCAGAAACAATTTTTAAATTTAAGGGCTTAGCCTAGAACATGTGAAGAAATACATTCTCCTCCAACAAGCCAGAGAAATCATGCAACCACATTCTATGGAATATTACTCTGGCTTGTCATGGAAAAGACAAGCCAGGGGTCTGGATTTCATAACATACTAAAAAACAATGAATTGTACACTACACAAGCATGCTCTTTGTACCAAATAAGTAACATGCAAACTGGTTTCGTGAGAAACTTTGGGAGAAACAACAGTGTAGCCCACATTAGTGCATTGAATCTTCAAGTACTTGCCCCACAGCTGTTGACAAAAAGGTCTGTGCCCTTGTGTGCGTATGCCCAAAATACACAACAGGGGAAGGTTTTCTTTTAAAGGATTTATTCTTGATAATAACCAGCTACCAAGGAATCATTTCAGATGGCACACCTGAATAGTCCTCAGTTGGCCCTTTCATACATTGATCATTAAAGGTTGCACATAACATAGTTAACACTTTCCAATAGGTTACAAAAGTTAAAATTTACAAGGGCATGATCTTTCCTACTTGCATATCAAAGAAGATGCTACGAGGGGGAAGATGGGGTGCTATTACATAGAAGAAGAGGAGGATGGGGGTGGGCTGTTGTGAATTGCCCTTTGTTTGAGCTGCTAGTCAAGTGCCAACTAGCTTTCTCTGAAATGGTGCCTGGTCAGTGTCAGCTACATTTCAAGGATGCACACATGCTGATTTCTACAAAAGAGGGCTTTTCTCAGGCCTTGTTATGTGTCAATGATTACCTGATTCAACCAATGAAAGTTATTCCTATTGATTTGTGCATCACAGAGAAGGGTCAGGATCTCTTCTTGATCATCCCAGAGTGTAGGACATGGAATAACAGAGTCAAGTTACAGGAAGCCAGATTCTGGCTGGACATCAGGAAAAATTCCCTGACTTCCTGAGCAGTGAGACAATGGAACCAATTACATTGGTACCTCGGCTCACAAACACCTCAGTTCATTACTAAATCGAACAGAAATTTCAGAAAATTTTTGCCTCGGGTCATGAACTCCGCATCAGGTGATAATTGCGATCCCACCCATCTTCCCTGCATGGGCGCAATCACGGTCATGCTTGGGGGTTGAGATGGGGGGAGGTGGTTGCGATCGTGCACGTCTTCCCTGCCCGAGCGCAACTGCAATCGTGGTCGTGCCTGGGGGCGGGGGGGGGGGAGATGGCCACAATCTTTGTTGTTCTTTGTCACTCTGTTTCAAATTTTTGTGATTTAAAAAAATGGTTACAGAACTGATTAACCTTAGTTACATTGAACCTTATGGGGAAATTTGACTTGGATCACAACCAATCTGGGTCGCGAGCAGAGTTGTGGAACGGATTAAGTTCGTGAGCCAAGGTACCACTGTATCGGGGAGGTTGTTGCCTCTTCCACACTGGATGCATTGAAGATGGATAGTCATCTGTTAGGAATGCTTTACCCTAAAGTCCTGCAATGATCAGACAGTTCAACCTGCTGGCCTTATGGGCCCCTTCTATTATTCTGATTCTATTAATCCAGCTAAGCACTAGTTCCCCCTCCCCACCCCAGCCATTTTTAAGCAGGTGATCACTGGTATCATCCTTAGTCCAACCTGTAACCTATAGCAAAACAAACAAAAATAAAAACTAGATAATACCACAAGAGTATGCAGCAGGATTCTTGAACCCTATTTTCTCAGTTTTTGGCTTGCTACACACTTTCTATATTAACACTAGGTTGCATAGAATTGCAGAGCTGTCATGTCACTGTTTTGACCACCGCCCTCACATACAAATTAGATTTTTAAAAAAGTTTCCCCAGATGCAATGTATCAACAAAGAAATAACAACAATGGATTTTCTTTTAATTAGTAGGACATTTTTTCAGAACACATTTTGCACACACAAAAGAAAGACCTGAGTTCGCTATGAATTATCTTTGATGATACCTCCACAACCCCAGGGACACAGAAGCCTAATCAGTACTACTATAAAATCCTGGATTTGCCCAGTTCTTTCGGGCAGCCGCCAGTTCAGTCCCAGGAGGACATAAAGAGAAGCCTGCCTGCTTTCTTTAATAACAGTGCAGTCTGAACTGCTCCGTTCAGGGGGATTTCCTTCCTACTGAATTGAGATTGGACCCGTTTTTCTAGGTGCTATAATAGACAGCTCTCACACGAAATCTTTTTGTGTCAAGAATGGAAGCAAAATTAAACGAACAAACCACGTTCGCTTTAGGCTGAAAAACACCTCCCACTGACAGAGTTAGGAAAAGTAAAAGAAGGACTATCACATTTCCGGTTTGAGTAGCCGCTCCACACACCCCAGCACCCGAGGGGGCGAGAGGGAAACCGCCCACAGAATTCAAGGCAAGAGGTTAACGTGACGGCAGCCGGGCAAGAGCCCGCCCGCCGTGGCCGCCAGGACGGAGGCCGCGCTAGAGCGCTCGACGGGAACCCGGAAGTGACTCCTCCGTGCGATGCGGGGCCGTCGGCGCTGCTAATGAGGCGGGGAAGGCGCGCGGGAGGGCGCCGCGGTCTGGTCGCTCGCTGCTTTCTTCTTCGGGAAGTGCGCTCGGCAGGGCTATGGCACTGGCATTGCCCTGCGGCCCTGCGGCAGCGGACGGTGCGCTCCCCCGTTCCTCCTTTTCGGCGCTGGAGCATCAGTGGCTGCGGGCGATGCGGGGCTTCGGCCACGGCGGGAGCGACGAGCAGATCGTGGACGCTTCCCGGCAGTGTTTGAAGCGCGCTTTGCGTCCATCCTGCGCGGGCGGCAGGGATGATGCCCGGTTGTGTGGCTATAGGTGAGGGCAGCAAGAAGGGGCTTGAGCTCAGCCGTGAGTAAACAAGGGGTAATCTTAATATCGTTGGGACCTTTGCTTTAGCTGTTCTGGGTTAAAGAGTTTCTCTAAATAAAATTAAATAAATCTCTCTAGTCCAACTGACTTTGTGTCCCTGTTGAATATCGATTTTTTTTTCTTTTTTTTGTTGGTTGTTCATTATTTGTTATAATTGAATTATAATTCACTATAATTTCACTGAATTAACCATTCCATTTCTTTCAGCCTTGTCTCCATTTCTGAACTTCAGTCCCAACAACGCTTGCTTTGCTGTAGTCATCTGACTTGGAGTTCTAAGGAATTCAGGGAATGGGTTCTCCAATATGAAGCCCTTTTACCTAATCAGAAAATTTTGCAACGAATTCACTTGGTACTCATTGGCTACTTGACAGATGAGGGACTTGGAAAGAAAGATCAACCGATGGATGGCAGTTTGTATGTGCAAGACAACACTGGTGTGCTGCCTTGTGTGGTATGGCATGAGAATATTTTTCACTTTTCCCTTCCAGCACTGATTGGGAGGATCAGTATTATTATTTACATTGCTGAGTTGTAGGTCTTAAAATTCATCTCCATATTATACACAGTGGCAGCTCTTTGGGGCTCCACTTACATGAAGAATGTAAAGCAGCAGCTTGGGCAGCAATTTCTGCAGTCAGGAGCACATTTCCAGTTACTATAGATATAGGAATAAAAGGTCCAAGTTAGATATGATAGACTAGCTATATTGTTTGTTCATGTAGCTACTTCGTTCATGTATAAAACATGATGAGTATGCCATTTCAACATAAAAAAGAGATGCTTGGGACTATGGAGAATCTCATCTTCCCATCTCACCTACCTATTGCTTGCAGGTACTTAAGGCATGCATTTCTTCAGGCAGGAAAAATTGGATCACCTCCCTCCCTAGGGCAGGGATGGGAAACAATATTCCATGGATACTTTTCTTAAAGTGCAGTAAGTCCAGTACCTTCCCACTTAAAAAATAAATAAATCATACATTATCTTACAACTGGGTTGCTGGAAAGCAAAGTGAAGGTTTCCAGGTGTTCCCATCTTCATTTACCATGCATGATTATGGTCTACATGACGGAGCTTAGAATCATTCTTAGGAAAAGAAAGTGGTAGGCAGCTGCAAACTAGCACTTCCCTTCTTGCAGCATGCCCAACCAGCAAGAAAAAATAATTTAAAGAAAAAGATGCTGAAAAGAAGGTTCAGGTACTGTAGCTCAGCCCCACTTGTTCCTTGTACACAGTCATTTAAGACAGTTAAGTGTCCTTTGTGACTAGCTATTCCTCCCATGGTAGCCATTTTGTACTGGAGCACAGAACAGTTTTCCAAATTGCCTAATGTTTCCACAAGCCTGAAACGGTTGCTTCCATGGGCCTTTTGGAAATTTCACAGAATTAAACCCACATTTGAAATGCTTCAAATTTTTATGGTAATCTTGGTTAAAGTCCATGATTTTATGCTGTGCAGTAGAACTGGGAATACATAACATCCTACAATGCACATTCTTAGGGCTAATTGCACATTTTCATTACGTATTACATTTTTCTTTTTTTAAAAAGCTACTGTGGGCCATCCTATTCTAACTTGTATTGCATTTTATGTTCCCAATGGTCATTCAGTCAAATTCCAAGATACTGATATTCATCAACCTTCTCTATTTTGGATCTTGTGCTACTTACTTTTTGCTAATTACCACATACTTGATTTTCTTAATAGACATTTCTAAACTATATTACTTGGTAAATATTTTTGCAAATCGGCTTAATGAGAAATTTTGGGGGAAACTTTGTTAAACTTCTAAATTATCAGCAGGGTGGATAAAAATCAATGATTTTTTTAAATAATAAAAAACTGGAGCTTTTAATTTAAATTGGATTTTTAAATACAATGCTTCTTGAGGAAGACTTTATCTAAAGATAGCTTTCTATTTAAGATACATTATAATCCAAAGGCTATTCATCATGAATTAAAGATTAGTTTTAGGTTTTAGTTTGGTTTTACAGTTTTCAGAAGTGTGAATTTGTCTCTGCAGAGATTACATGCTTCTTCTTTATAGCAAAAATGTTATAAGGTAAACATATAGAGTTGAGAAAAAGACCTTAATTCCATTGTTCCGTTGCAAATCGATTTACACAGAATGAATTTAGCACTCTTAAGTGCTAAATTCCAAAAAAATCAGTGAATAAAAGAAGATTGTTGGTAGTGGAATAGATCTGTGGAAGAAGCTAATACACTAAACCCTTTAAATTATCTTCTTTTATTAGCTTTAATATTTTTTCATGAACATTATTAAAACCAGGAACTCTACCATTTTCATTTTTTATTTTTTTAGCCATTGCGTTTCAGTTTTTGGGCTTCTTTTCTCTAGTTTGAATATACTTCATAGGAAACCTGTCTGTCTTTTGGTTTAGCTCCTGCATTTCAAGCTTGAATGGCTTGGTTGCTTAATGCTATTCCCTGCTTGGATATACATCCCCCAAACAGACCAGATCACAGCTGGGTATGTGGAGATCTTAGAAGACCCAGTCCATGTGATACCAAGACCGGAGAAGGCTATTGGATATGATATCATCCCTGTCTTTTACCCAGGACCAATTGCACAGCTGCTTAAATCCAGGTAAAGGTTCAGTGTTATCTTCCACATTTTTGCATCATTCACTTGATAGCTATCTTCCATTGTAGGAGTCAGTTGTTGGAGGAAACGAATACATAATTGCTGTATCCTTCAAAACTCCGTTGGAATATTGATTGACTTGGCTATGGATTTGAATTGTTTGTAAGCATTTGCAAACCTTGTTTCATAAAATGTCGGTAGGAAAGTGGTATGCTATAATGGCCCAAAAGGAATGCTTAAGCAACAATTGTCTTCAACCACATTTAAAGAGAATATGTTAAAATGTAACCAGTTTCTTTTCATAATAAAAATACCAAATTTGGGAATGGTTATCTAGTCAAGTTTTTGTTGTTATTGTTGCTATTTGTTGTTTTAACAGGTGTGAACAGTATGAGCTGGAAAATCCATGGTTCAAATTTCACTTCTTCCATAAACTCATTAGTTGGTTTTAGGAAAGTGGCTGTCTTGCAGACTGAAACACACGTACCACCACCACTCAGGGCAAAACAGTACTGACAGATTCTAGAGGGTAGCGAGGTTGTCATGTTGTAGCAAAAACAACAAAGTCTTGTGATGCCTTAACTTAATAAATTTATTATGGCATGCTCTTTTGTGGACCCCATCTGCTTCATTAGTACATCAGATGCCTCACTAATCAGAGCTGAATTCCAAAGCAATAGAATTCCAAAGCAATAGAATTCAATAAATTCTATTGAAGGCAATACGTCACCAGTTCCGGCTTAGTTTATTAGCCAAGCATAGAACAAATGGTTCCTCCTGTCCATCCCTCCTCTTAGCCCTGTAGCATATGTAGAGAGCTCCTGGAAGACGGGCATCTGCCTTTGTGTTGCATTTTTAGCATAGCGGAATTGGTACCTCACTGCTGCTCCTATCTTTGGCAAAAGTCCAACAAGAGAATGTTGGAGAGAAAGAAGAGATGGACTTGCTGCTTCCTCCTGTAAAATATTAAATGGAACAGTGAGAAAGGAAGCTTTGGCTAAAGCAAGGTTTCCCAGCCCTTTTTGGCCCATGAAGACATTTAGAATTATGAATGTCATGGGTAATCTCACAAAATGGCTGCCATGGTGGGTGTGGGCAGCCACAAAACACCTATTTCCCAGAAAGCAATCTGGTAAGTCTAAAAGAAAAGTAGCTGGCTTAAGACAACTGTCAAAGGAGCAAGACAGGGATGTTTATCTTATTTTCTACATCACTAATATTGCAAATTGATGCTGTTCTTCCTTTCCACTTACAACCCCTGTGGATATGGCTATGTGATATCTCTGTCTGCAGCCAGACTATATGCTCTGGTTATCCCATACAAAGATACAGATGTATAGATTATTGAAAACATTGGAAAGTTACTATAGAACTGAATTTCATGAAATTATCCATGATAAAATGAACGTGATGTATGCAAAAAGACTCCAGAGGCATGAATCATTCCTAGGCGGTCATTGTGTTGTGCAGTGCTTATCACAGAGTGACACTGAGTGTCTTCTACTGGCTTCAGCTAGTGGCCCAGCTCTACCCTCGCCTGGAACAGGGTTAACCTGGCTTCAGTTATTCTATGCTTTAGTAACCATCAAATGGAGCTGTTGTCAGTGGACAACATGGAGCTTCCCTTGAATATAGCTCAGAAGCTGCAGCTTGTATAAAATGTGGCAACAGAAGGCTGCCTGTTTGTTTCTGGACATAATTCAAGGTGCTTCAATTCAAGACTTTAACCTGTGAAGTCTTAACATGGCTTGGGATTGCAGTACCTGAGTGCCTCTTCTGATCTGAACTGACTATGATGCTACAATTAAATTTTGGAACTTTCCTTCATGCAGCTCCTACAAGGGAAGCTTGGAAGGTGGCCACCAGTGAGAGTGCATTATAAAATTATCTGTCCAACCTTGTGGCAATATTTTTCTTCTTTTCCATGCCCTGTTAAGAGTGCCCTCTACTCTCAGACACATAATGGCATAGGATGAGGCATTTATCTTAGCTGTCTTCAACAGTACTAGTATTATACTAAAATTGAAGCATTATTCTGTATCCTATTATCGTCTATCTGCAGTTTGTGATTTTGTGCATTGTTGTGAACCATCCAGAGAGCTTCAGCTATTGAGCAGTACAGAAATGAGATTATCATCATTGTGATTAGTGAGGGAGTACAATTGCTTTCATTTCTTCTTTGTGGACTTCCTGGAAGCATATGGGAAATTTCCCATTGTGGGAAATGGAATGCTAGACTGGATGGACTCTTGGTCTGAGCCACTAGGACTCTTCTTTCCTTTAGGCCTCAGTGCAAGAAGATGGCAAAGATGAATGTGGCAGGTGAATTGTTCAGGCTGAGCACTATGCTCTACATCCACCACAAGACCTTCTTCTTCTTCTTCTTGAAGTGCTTCAGTTCAGCTGCTTATGTCCCTGTACTAGTGCAAGTAAGTTTTCTGGAGCAGGTTCACTGATTAGTTCAACAAAGTTTAATTTCAATGTCAGAGATATACCTTCTTTCCATATGTTTAAAGAATTGTTTCTACTCTGCAAGTTTTTATTGCAATGTATGCATTATATATAAGGTCATATTCTCTATGTGCTAGTTGGTACAGTGGTAACTTGGCTCACGAACTTAATCTGTTCCACAACTCTGGTTGTGACCCAAATGAGCCAAGTCAAATTTCCCCATAAGGGTCAATGTAAATAAGGTTAATCTGTTCTGTAACTATTTTTTTAATCACAAAAATATGAAGCAAACGGACAAAGAACAACAAAGATCGTGGCCATGTCCCCCACCCCACCCCAAGCACAATTGTGGCCATCTCCCCCCACCCCAACACGATCGCAGCCACCTCTCCCCCTGAGCATGACCGTGATTGCACCCATCTTCTCTGCATGAGTGCAATCACGGGCGCACTCGGGGGGGGAGACAGGCACGATTGTGGGTGAGCTCGGGCATGAAGATGGGCATGATCGTGGGTACATGTGGGTGGGGGGAGACAGGCACGATTGCAATCGTCACCTGATGTGGAGTCCGCAACCTGAGGCAAAATTGTTCAGAAATTTCTGTTCACAACCTAATTTGGCCCTCAGTAATCCTAGAGAGGTGTGGGAAGCCACCATGGCCCATAAACTCCAGCCAAATGAACCGAGATACATCGTAGTTAGTCTTGAGGATGTTGGATGGCTTAGGTTCTCGTTGAAGGAATATTTCTCTTAAACATGCTGAATTCTGGCTTACTTTCTGTTTTTTCTATTGTAGAAGACTTCCCAGTTGGTTTGGCATCATGCACTGCAGTTGGGACATAAGTATGTCCTGACTGCTCTGAAGATGTCTTGCCTCAGAGCTTCTGGACTGAGTGTTTTAATTACTAGCAGTTCCTCACATCTTCTGCCCTATTGTAAGGAAAAAGTGAAGGAACAATTTTTGGACAATGCTTCAGAGAGAAATTCAGCCATTTCCACTGTGGCCTGCACACAGCTTAAAAATTTGTTGGAGCAAGATGAGGAAGAGATGGAGACGGTTCCAGTTCAGAGGTCCAAGCTGATCTCATATATAGTAAGTAAACAATGTCTCATGTACAGAGTGACCTTTGCTCTAAACTTAGTCCTTGCACTTTGGGACTGCAAAGGCTTGGAGAAGAGTCCTTGGATTATTCCAAAGCAGTGCAAACCATGTATAACGTTCTCTTTCTCTATTGCCTTTTCAGGGCACCATCACCCAAGTGCTAAATGCCCAAGCTGGCCTTTATGAACTGGATAACAAGTTCACTCTGTGTCTTGCTTATCAGCAGTTGTTGAATTCTGGCTATGGTCTTCGTCCAGGAGCACGCATAGAGGTGAGATAATGAGCAGTCTTCCTGGGCAAATGTGTAAGTAGAGCTGTTTTTTGAGGAGATGATGGCATCTGTGATGTTCAGCGTTGTCTCCAAATGCAGCACAGTCAAAGAAAGGTCTGCATATGACATGTGCAAAGAAGTGTTTGTTAGACAGGTTGTGTATTTAGGTACAGAGGAATGTTTTATAGCTTGTTGCCCAAACAGTTTTCTGGGTGACTCTAAAGCCTCAGTGGATTGAAGCTGATTGATGAGATAACAGGTCAGACTATAGCATAGAAATTGTAGTGAATTTCCAAAAATGCTCATTTTCCTTTATGCTAATACATGTGCTTACGCATCAGCTCCGAGATGTCCACCTTGTTCCAAAGTCTCTGAATACCTCCTGCTCCATTCTTGGAACTTGTCTACGGAGCACTGTTGTGCTGAAGAGTTTTTCATCATGCGGTACATTCCATCAGCCTGTAGTCTCCTTTGGGAATCTTTACACTCAACTGTTATTGCGTTATAATTTGCATTTATCCCTGTATCTGTGGGTGGTCAACATGCTGGAGACATTTGAGCAGAGGCAAGTATATATTGAAAAAATGATGTTGAATCCCCAGAGACGAAGCTATGCATCAATGCTTTTGGTCTGTTACACATCTGTGCCTTGAACCTGTTTTCCAACAGTTGTGTTAATTTTCAAAAAATTGTCTGCCTTTTCCAAATGTTCAGCCATGTGTGAGAACATTACTATGGGACAACAAGACCCTAAAACTTCCTGGGAATGTTATTGAATGTCTTCCAGAACTGCAGAACTTTTAAATTCAAAGAGCTTGAGTGGAAATAAATTTCCTATAGGGCATCAGCCTGATTAAAACAACTTTTAATTGATTAATCTATTCAATTTGCATGAGAGATAACTTTGGAATGCAAAGTGAGCCTGAAGCAAGAACCATATCATGCACATATCATAGCAGGTATTGATTTTTGAAAGAAAAGAATACCTCATTTAAGATTGTGTTGCCATCTGCAGTTTTTATAAATATTTGATTTTTTTAAAGTTCCTCTTCAGGAACATAACCATTTTTCCCAAACCAGTTTAATTGGTAAAATATTGCAGCCTTGATAACTGGGCCTTTACCAGCTGTCTTTAAGGAACTGCTCATATAAAAACTCATAGCGTATTAAATCCTGTTAAGAATTTCAGACAGGATGTACTGAGACAGTTTCAGCACTTTAGCTTAAAGTATAAGGAGAATCAAAGATTTTCATAATTGAAACTATAGATATCCAATTGGATACGATTGTTTAATAATAGTTTCCTTGAGTTTATTGTGCACACCCTATTTCCTTATCTCTTATGCTGTCTGAACTTGATCTCTGGTTTCTTCAATTGAGTTCAGTCAGTCTGACTTTCACATTTTTGGTCCTATACCAGGTTTCTTCTCCTGAGTCTTTTGTTTAAAAGGTTGCTTTAACTTGGAACTGATGTTCCCATAATTTTTCCTAGGTTCTGTAATTTCATTCAGTGTGAGCAGTTGTTGCTTTGCCACAGCCACCAAGCCCGGGGGGCAGCAGAGAAGTTTATTGTTCCTATCCTGAATTCTTTGGTGCTGTCCACAAAGCCAGAAAGAAACATTCATCAGGAGATCCTAGCAGGAAACCACAATTGTCCCCTCGAGGAGGTAATGGCTTTTCCCATAACTCTGAATTTCCCTCTTTTCACCGTGGGATAATTTGACTTTTTAAATCCTTCTGTAGGATTGTAATTTGGAGCCACCATGTCAGATTCCAAATTTCTCCATGCTCTATGTGATGGTTGAGAAACGATGCTGGGAAAGCTTCAGTCAGTTGCAGCAGCTGAGCTCAGCCTCAGAGATTCACAACTTAGACAAGCAGGAACTGAATCGCAGATTGGCCTGGTCCTACTACAGATTCTCCGCGGAGAATTTTCAACCTCAGATGGTAAGTGCTAACTTGTTTTCCAGAAGGTTGCAAGAAAGAGTTCTCACCTGTTTACTGAGCAAAGGTATACAAAGGGCCTCACACATACCAGCAGTGCTCTGTATAGGCTGGTTATTGCTTTACTGTGATGTCCCCGGGAAATGTGTGGGTGGGCATTGATTCTCTTCAGAAGCATAGACTAACATCAGCTCAACCATTGGATTTTTAAGTCTTGTCATATTCTTTACCTCTTTTTGTGGGAATAGGTGTTACTTGGAATGTTGAAATGCTCCCAAAGTGGTTTCCTCAAGTTACAAGACAAAAGTAAAGCACTTCCTTGTGTAATTTTCCGCAGGGATGGCCGACCATTTACTGATACATCTCTGATAGGTAGGTGCATCCCATAACTGTTATTTTGAGTTCTTTTTTGAAGCCCTGTTCTATAGTATGGGAGAGAAGTGGGATAATAATAGTGACAGAAATATAGGACTTGAATGCCATGTTCTTTTCCAAATTAATGCAAGCTGGCTCTTCCAATGACAACTAAGCAAGATGTCTGTATGTATCCTCCAGAATCAGAGGCAGTACAGCTCTGGATACCAACTTACCTCTGAGATCCTGCTTGCTTATCTTTTGGGAATGTCAGTGTCATTCATGGACTTCTTCCCTAGGGGCAACTGGCTGTTTGCCATCTCCAGGGTATTAAGCATGGAGGCTGAACACTACTGAGTTTTTTACACCATCAAATTTAGACTCTATTTGATCCAGCCCCATGTAAAATAAGAATCTGCTTACTACACTGTTGGAGAATAGTTTTCTGGAGGTCTTCTGCTTGTGAGAACATCAAGTCATGCTGACCACAATGCTGGAGAGCCTAGTGCAAGGAGTCAGTGGCAGAGAATTGGAACTCAGCATGGAGTTTGCAGCCGTTCATCTGCATCCCCACTCACAGAATGTTCAGCAATGGAATTGTGCTGAACTCATTTGCCTACATTTCCCCTCAAACAAGGGGAATTCTAGTCTAGAGTAATACACAAAAAGGCTAATCACTGCTATGGGCTTTGTTGCTCCATTAGTCCCTTCTTCATAGGATAAGGGTGTGATGATACGAGAGACTGATTGGCAGCCTCTACCACAGGGGAGGAGAACATATGGCCATCCATGTTGACGGAGTGCAGCTCCCATCAGCCCTGCTCAGCCCAACTAGTGGTGTCTGAACTGTCATTATCCTGCCTCATCTGAGGAATCTCCTTTCCACCATCCTTGCCCTAGAGTGAACGCTCATCCCTGAATCTCCCAGAAGGTTGAGGATGATGACATGTTATTTCATAAAGAATGCCGGATTAGAGAAGTTTATTAATGCAAGTCTGAGAGGTCTGCATGTCCGAGAAATGGAGGAAAAGAGGGCATTAGAGGGAGAAAGGTCATGATCCCATCCCACTCATTACTAGCTTCAGTTGTCCCACCATTAGCATTTGTCCCCCAACCTCCCTTCCCAGGAAATGGGGCCTTCAACAGAAAAGCAAATGCCCTGGCAGCACAAATGGTGTATTCATTTATAATTTGCTGCTGCTGTTGTGGAGGAAGAAGAGGCCTTTCTAATCTTGAGTAGGTTTCTGTGGTGGTGATAGTGGTGGTGGGTATGTTCTAGGTTTTTGCTGATGTTGGCTAGAGGCCCCTTTTCGGTGATGATGTGGTCTTTAACTAGCCGTAGTGGCTTATTATTCACCGAGTGTGTGCCAGTTGCTTGGCACAGTGACTAGTGTCGTCTGAACCCAGCAAGAATAACTTATTGGGCAGGTTAAGAAACCACCCATGGTCTCTGTGCCTGTTGTATGGCTAAGTGCCCCCACAAGCCACCCTTACTGCATTTGGATGATACAAGAAGCCAGTGTAGTGGGAGCTTGAACTGGCAGCCTGGCACCTGGGGCACCGCAGCCCACTGTACCTGATGAGCCCCAGTGGGTTATGGTGATCATGCAAGCTAGACTGCTTTCTCCTATCCTGTCCTCCACCACCTTCCAGTTTCCCACAGTTAGAGTCTGTATGCAAAGCCTACCCAGGCTTTGAAATCTGTTTGCTAGGGTTGCTCCCGTAGCCATACATGGAAAGACCTCAAGGTTCAGACCATTGTGTGTTAAACGAGTAGGAGGAGAATTCACAGGTTGGTTTAATTCTCCAGTCTCCCTCAGGTAATTTGGTTGATCAGACTGGAGTTGTGGGGAGGGGCAGAAAGGACTAAGGACAGGATTGCTGGTAGAAGAAGCTGTTAGCAATTAGGGTTTGTCAGGGTAGACTTTTTAAGTGGGTTTTGTTCAGAATCTGGTCCTGTGGTATCCTCTACCAACTTTTGTGCTATTATAATTTTGTTTTCATTAGGGTAATTTAATTGCTATTGATACATACATACATACATACATACATACATATATATGTATGTATTTTATTCCAGGGTGCCTGCTCCAAATAGAAGCATTTCAGCTCACAGTGGAACAGTTCCTTCAGAGTGACTTTCCTTCCTGGCAGCAACTGATGACACATAAGTATATAAAAGAAAAGAAAAGAAGGCAAGTCTTGCTTTTTTAGTCTATCAGCCCAGAATGGTTGATGCCTTTTCCCATATGAGCCTACCTGGATCCTCACAAACTTGGGAGAGGTTTTGAGACTGCCACCTTCAGAGGCATGTTTGATGGTGACCCAGAGGGTCTTTTTGCTGGCTGAATTCCTTCCTCATGACAAGTAGGTTCTGTCTACTATCCTTTTAATGCCTTCACCCTGTAAGTCAGTCTTGTTGGTTGGGATGTGCTTTTGATAACAATTTTTATTTCATTATGATGTACTGATTTATTCTGATTGATGTTTTGAACTACCTCAAGTGCCATTTTTGGTAAAAAGGAAGATACAGATAGCATAAATAACAACGCCAATCTCCAAGTGGTCTAGAGCAGCATTCCTGACACTTCCATCTCCCTTTTCTATCCCCAGGGTCTATGTGCAGTTCAGTTTTGAGGATGTGAAGATTCTTCAAGCTCCTGAAAAGAGAGCACTAGTTAAAGAAAGAACCTCTTCTGGGGTAAATGGCAGTGAGACATTCGTGGCTGAGCCAAGAGTCCCCAAAAGAAAAGCATCCAGTTTGGAAAGGGCAAAACCAGATTCTAGCACCCCTGAGACTTCCAAGAGCAGCACTGCGGGAACTGGCTATGTGGCCCATCTATTTTTGGTGACTCAAAAAGAAGGACTTAGGCAGCGCAACTATCTGCAGAATTCAGAGAGGAACACGGAAGATGGTCAGGCAGTGCAGCTCTCTTTTCAGGCCACAGCACTATGGATGGGTAAATCTGAGCTTTGCTCAGGAAGTGGGGGCCCAGAAGAGCATAAGATCTCTGCTCGTCAAAAGACCAATGAAGCCCAGCAAAAGGTAAGAGAGCACCCAGGAAGAGAGGGGAGATGGCAAATTATATAAGTAGAAAGCTACCTAAAGATTATTTCAACAGTGCCCAAGGAGACATGAAAAGGATGGTTGAATTGGTTCTCAGGATAAGTGTCTGCTTTCTCCATGCTCTTATATTGCCACTTCTGGAGTATTTCAGCTGATTTTCATTTTTTTTTTCTCCCTTGGCCTCACAGAAGGTTAATGTTGTCACAGAAGCCCCTTTGTTTACCTTGAGGATGCTTTGCTTTTCATTCTTAGGGGTGCCTAGGGGCTTTCCTCTCTTGACCTCTCCAGTTGTTCTCACTTCAGGTGATGCTGCTGTTTGTGAGAAAGTCACTCCGATGGTTCCCGTTTCTACACCCTGATCATGTGTACCAGCTTATCCTACCCCAGTGCTTGGTAAGACTGAAATGCTTCTCTGGGTCTTCTTCATGCCTAGAGAAACAAGAAATCTTTTTAGTCAAGTTTCTTTTACTTCTTTCTGCACAAGTCAAGCAGAATATTTCATTATTCTGTTCTGCAGTGTATCTCTGATGCCATTGTTCTTGCAGGACTTGGCTGTGTTTGACAAACTGTGCTCGAAAGAACCAGCAAGCCTCTTGAAATTTTCCAACTGCTCTTTGTTTCTACATGTCCCAGACACTGCCCACCTGCTGCATGTCAGCCAGAGTTTTCAGGTAGGCTGCTCTGCAGTTAGGTCATTTCAGCTTCTGTTTAACTTTGAGTTCATTTAGAGTAAACTGTGAACTACAAGGGAATTATGCAGGGAGTTCTAGTTCTGGATGGGTTGGCTTTTTTGTTGCCAGTTAACTACAGTTGACTCAAGGAATCTGGCCATACAAGCAGTGGGTCAGATCAAGGATGAACAGACGCTCGATGGGAGGGCAGAGGATGAAACCTGTGGTGGTGTTTTTGTTGTTTTTCAGCTGGCTCCAGCAATGTCCAAGGTTGAACAAATACAGTCCTCTATTGCAGAGATCCTCAGCCCTAGGTAGGCAAGCATGCTCCGAATTCTGAGTTAACTTGTTTGCCCTGCTTCCATATTTACTGAGAAGGTGTTGGCACCATCTGTGGAAACGATTGAAAGATGATTCAGATGGAAGTATGCAGTACTGTAAACCAGCTCCTGCAGTAGGAAATTTGCATCACTTCTGAGCTCTTCAGTGTAATCTTAAGGAACAGTAGTGACTGTGATAGCTGTTGTGGTGATATGCTGGCCTGTATTGCTGGCTCAGTTTTTGGCTGTGAATATGAGAAAAGCTGCTTCTGAAACATGAGTAAGGTGGGAGATGGCTGGATAGGAAAATAGAATCATAGAGACCTCTTCACTTTAGTGCTTGTTTGTGTAGGCTGAAGACTTAGGGTTATGTATAAACATTTATTTGATAGAATAAATCCTATCCTTCATCCTTTATGGGACCCTGCAGGAAGCTATTAGTATAATCCCCCAACATAAAAAATGCCACACAGCAGTACCACAATAGTAGGCAGCAGCTGTTGGTAGCTACAACTAAGCCAGTACAGAAATCATTAGCAAAAGATAACTTGAATTGGGTTGATGTCGAAATGCATTTTTAAAGAAATCAACAGGCTCTGACAGGCCAGAAAATTCTAGTCTAAGTGGCACCTGTGAGATGGCCCTGTCATGTGTCCACCATCCTCTGCTCTCCACTTGGATGAGGTACATTGAACTGGGTGAGGGCAGGCAGACGAGCGGAGACAATAATTAATATACCATGGTCCCAAACAATATAAAGCTTTAAAGGCAAGAACCAGCATCTTGGTCTGGGCCCTGAAAACACTGAGAGCCAAGGAAGCTTACAAAATAGTGATGTAGTACCATTGTATACTGGTTCCTCTCAATATTGTTGGTTCCTACAATTGGCACCAACTGAATTCTCTGGCTGCTTCAGTTCGAAGAGTGAGGTAAAGCAGCCCAGAATTGCTGGAAGCACATGAAATTCAGTGCTGAAATCTGTAAGATTCATTACGTTTTCTCCTATTGAAAGATTGATTGATTGATTGATTTACACATATGTATAGGTTGGCTATAATAGCCGAGGCCTTCCTAGGCAGCTTGCAATGTAAACATGCTGTTTTTACAGAAAGATGTTGTTGCTGTTTTAGAAAAGCAGATTGTTGCAGCATCTATGCTAACCTGTGCATGCCTTTCACCAGATGTGGCGTCTTTTCCATTAGCTGCTTTTGAATCACTGCATAGTGCTATACAATCACATCCTCGTGTGTGTGAGACTGATTTTAATTCTTGTCCACATCTTGAGCTTTGGAAAGGCTCAGATGTAGAAAAATTTTAAGTGGACAGACCTATACTTGAAGATAGTGGCTTGGATCCAGACTTGATGAAGCAGATGTACTGAAATCTTACTGGCTTCCATGGGTATACTTAGAGTACTATTTAAAAATAATTCTAAAACAATCTGAAATACTCCTTAACTGATAGTGTTTCCTTAGGAAGCTGGATAGCTTTCAGTTTTAAATTTAGAAGCACAAATTCTAGTTTTTCTAAACCATATTGTATCAATTTACTATCTTTTCTGATTACTACTTACATTTTATCTAAACTTAAGCCAAGTCCTTTTCTGTTTCTGTAAAAGTGAAGATCAAGTTTTACCAACAAATTTTCTCCCAGTAACCTTTATCATATGCTTTCCTGTATGTGTGGATCCAACTCAACATACTGATTGGATGATGAATGTCCAAATAAAAATACATTGTTGCACCGGTAATGGACTCTTAAGGAATGTGAGGACCTAATAAAACTTTGATTAGTTTCACAGGTTCCCTGGTCTCTTTCTCTGGAGTAGTAGTGGAGAGGTGTTTGTGTGAATCTCTTCCTGTGAACAAGTCAGCAGTAGATCTCCGTACGCAACGGAAGGGTGAGCATCTCTTACACAGTGCAAGAATGATGAGCCTGGGTGATCCTATGGACACTTCTGAGCCAAGGCTCAGTGGGGAGGATGGGGGAATCAGACGGCCTGCCCTAGGAGTATGTATTCATAGAGAAGAAGGATTCTGCAAGAGGAAAACTAGATCCTCTGTAGATGAACTTTAGCAGGTACACTAATGCAGCACCTTTCTAAGACAGTATCAAGTAAGAGTTTCTCCTGGGTGAAAACATTTCCAATCATCTAGGTAACCTCCTGCCCTGGGATTACACCGTGAAGCTGAGCATATCACCAGCAGCTGGTTCTTCAGTTCTACTGGACATATATGTTGAAGCCCCTTACCTGCCGTATCTCTGGGGCATGCTGCCTGGAGCCAGGCTTCTCTTCCAGAACCTGCAACGCAAAGTTTCCAAGTATGTCTTTCCACGTATGTCTCTTTCCAAAAGTAGATGCAGCATACTGCTAGCTGGTTCATGTGTGACCCCCTGTTTGTCTCCCTACCTTATGATTCATCAGTAATTTTTTTAAAGTTATACTATTTTTTTCTGGCAGCTTAAAGCAGTTTGTGATAGCAGACATATCAGAAAAATTATGCATAGCAGAATAATGTGTTAATTTGTTTTCTTGTTGCTAAGCTTAATTCTTTGTCTTCACTGTGCAGTTTTTGGGGCATGGAATGAATACAGGGGTGACGGGACAGTTAGCAGTCACCAGAGCCCTTGCAGAATCCAATGACTGCCTCTTTGCATTACAGATTCGGAAATGTCTATTGTACGTATATTGCATCTAGCTGCATGCAGGTTATGGCACCTCCACCTCACGATTCTCCTTACCAGTGAGTACCAAACTGTGCTACCGTCTCTTGAAAAGAATGCATTGAGTTTGGTGGCTGTCCTCATGTTGTCTTTCTATTTCTAGTCCTCTGGGTTCCGTCTCTGCCCCCTCAGAGGTGTATCTGTTCAACGTCCTGCTTCAGCCACCTACTCTGCACCCAGCACGGGCCATCTGCCATTTGACTTGCATCCTGTCTTTATCCCTGAAGTGGGTCTGCTCTCTCTGCAACAGCACTTTCGCAGAGGTATCCAGTAGCTTCATATTCAAAGATGGGTGCTTTTCCAGCTAGAACTCTTCTCCCCTGTGATAGCTTTCTGTGGGAAGAGATTACTTGTAAAGAGAACCATTCGGTCATGTGTGCCCCCATACCTTAAGAGAGCATCAGCTGTGGGGTATTCCAGAAAGGCAGGAGATAGATAGTCTGGACTGACCAGCCCATAGGCAGATTTACCACTTGAACAAGAACTGGCCTAACTTTGCAATTGCCCTTTGGGGTTTTTTTTCCCTTGCAGGGAAGAGGCAGCCAATGTAACCTGAGTTGCTTGTCACATGTAGGCATGAATAAAGCTAGTGCCAGGTAAGTGCCAGGAAAGGAAGTTGTCTAAAATAAACTTTTAAAAATCCTTCATGGGGCATTCAGGGCCAGATATCTATTTAATTCTTTCAGTCAAAGTCAGGTTTTGAATATGTTGGCTGTTCAGTTCTTGCCAGTTCTTATTGCCAGTTCTTACGTTATAGCCTTTGCATTTGATAACCAATATATTATAGCCATGCTGGATTAGACTGCTGCCTGTCTAGTTTTATTCCAGCAGTATTTTAATAAGTTTTAATGTTGTCTTTTCTATGTTTTTAATTGCAGCCAGTGTGGGTCAGGAATTTATTTATGTTATTTATGTTATATTTTATATTGTAAGCCGTCCTGAGGCTTTTTTGTGATTAGGACGGCATATAAATATTTTAAATAGATAAATAGATAGATTGGTATCTGCAGGATGGGGGGTTGCATCCTTGCATAGATCATCAGAAGTTGAATCACCATGAAAAATTGGTATCCATTCCACCTTATTCTGGAATTTTTCAAACAACTCCAGGAGGCCAGGATGTTTACCAGGTAGGATTTGTGTGGTGGGGCCTAGAAATGGGTAAGAATTTCAAAAAGAGAATGAACTGAAGATGGCCTTCTACATGTAATACTTAAAACTGTCTAAGCCAGTAACCATTACTATATTTAAGTGGATGTGAGTCTCATGAGCCAGTCTGCTTTAGCTGCACAGATTATTTTATTTTGCTTGTCCTGAATCAACTGCACGTCAGCTGAACTGCACAATATCAAGCAAGCTTTCCTCTGTCATTGCCTGACTGATAATGCTGCAAAACAGATGCAAGGAAGAGGGATGCTGCTTGTACAGCAGTCACCTGGGGCTCATTTCCTGGCAAATGTCACACAAACATTCAGCCTGCTTGCCAAGAATTGATTCATGGCCACAAGAAAGCAGGCTGTCATCCAGGGAACCAAGCTTAGAGAATCTGACAGATTCTTCTCACAGCCCAAGTCATGACCAGGCCCAGAAGACAATGGAAGAGAACATTGTTTTTCCTTGTCACTACCACAGTGGAACTCTAGTACAAAATATCCCCATTCTAACCCATTCCCACGCAAAAGCTATATCCCCACATTTATCTGCTCAAATATAGGAGAAGGCAACATGAAGCATGCTTGACACTATGTAAAATAATGCACAAATTTGCATTCCTAAACTGATAGGCCTGCCAAATAATGGGCAAAATTCACTCATTACATAGATTGTCAGTCTAAAATGTTGAGGAACCAGTCTAGCATGAAAGGGGTGGTACGTGATGTTAACTGATAATTAGTTAACAAGGAAGCATTCTGACCAAGTATGTTGCACGGGTTGCATTGCAGAGGCAGCTGGCATTACGATGTCTGTCTCTCAGCCCACCAAGTCCAATTAGAAACACTGCTGTAGAGAGGGAGCAGAGGACTTGAGGCCATGGTTGATCAGAAAGCACTGCATTGAATAAGGTCATGATTTAACCAAACATCCTTCTAGAAGTTTAAGAAAACTAATATTTGTCTGAGATAAAATTTGCAAACTATTCTGAATAACATTTTTCCAAAATAGTAATTTTTCCAGAGTATCGTTCACCCTCTGTAGCTATGCAGTATGCCAGTTCACTAAACAGAATGCCATTTTGGATCCCGCTGTGACCTCATGTCTATTAATCTCATTACTCCTCTAAACGTTTGCCTTCAGGATCCTCGTGGAAGATGGAACAAGTGAGTTTGTCGTGTTGTGCAAGAACCAGCAGGTGCAGGATGTGCTAGGCCTGAGCCCCAAGGAGTGGGATGTGGTACAGCAGCATGTGCAGAGCAAGGGCAGCATCCACATTCAGCATAATGACGTTAGCCCTGGTTCTGGGGTGAGTGGTTCCCTTCCTACTGAACTGCCAGCCTCATGTCTGAATTCTTCCTGAACTCTGATGCATGGCACTCGCCCAATATGATGCCGATAACCTGCTTTTGACAGAAAATGGAAGAGCCTGAAGATCTGGTCACGTGGTACCTGAGAAATTTATGCAGAAGCCTAGTTGTCTGTCGGCCCATACTGTTGACTTTCAGACTGGACAGAATGCCTGTGGAGGTTCATGAGGCAGGTATGTATGCATGCTCTTCGTTTGATCAGTTTCTAGTGCTGAAGAAAGCGTGCGCTCACTCGCTCTCTCTCACACGCGCTCTCTCTCCCCCCTCTCCCTCTCGGGCGCCCAAGGAAGGACCTGCAGAACCTCCTGCCCACAGGGTGCATTTTTTTGCTAAATCTGTGTCTGAAGCAGCTGCTAACAGTGGAGAAGTGCTGCTTATCTGTCAGTGTAGCCTCAGTGCACTTTTGTCGGGACAAGGATCCCTGGTGCTTAGACGATTAGAGCACAGACCACGAGACTGATCTTGGAATCCTAGCTATATTTACATTTTGCAGAAGGGCTAAGAGTTGCGGATATGCCGAGCTGTATATACGAGTAAAGCTACAGAGTGTAGAAATAATGTCTAGAATGTATTTAGATTTTACGGAAGCCTAGCCAATTTCCTATCCAAATAATCTCAAATTCTTTAATTAATCCTTATCTCAATACTCCACTATGCCAAAGCAATAGTTCTTCCATTTAATTTAGATCCAGTTTCTGAGGCAGCTCCTGCTCTAGTACAAATACTTTTTCATGTAATTATTCCTGTTCATCATAACCTACATCAGGTGTAGGCAATCCTTTGGGGTCCTTGAGTACATTAGACAATTGGAAAAACTGTCTTGGGTATCACCAAAATATGGCTGTATTGGGGGCGTCTTTAGTCGCAAAGGGAAAGTAATTGGCCCTATGGCTGGTTTAAGCCGACAGACCCTAAACTCCACTGAACAAAATGTTTGGCATCTTTTTCTTTTGGCTGCACGTTGCTGCTGACGGGGCATTCTGCAGACGCAAGGCAGCTACCTCCCATCCAAAGGATGGCCCACAACGTAGCCCAGCATATTGGAATTGAAGGCAGCAACAGTTGGTGGCCCTCACTTTGCTTCCAGGTGATCAGGCGTCGATATGGAAAAGCTAATTAAGAGAGGAAAGTGGGAGGGGAAGGACATGCTGGCGATCATCAAAAACGATGTCCTTGTGCACCTGTGTTGCCCACCCCTGCTCTAGATTACACTGTAGAGTGTAATAAATTGTACAGACATTGGAGCAATTAAAGACCCCTTCACATTTTTAAAGATGTGGATGCCTGCAAGACAGAGAGAAATGCCTTTTAAGAGGCAAGTATCATGGCCATTGCAGCCTGCTGCGCGAGGGGTGCGGAAAAGGAGACCTTTGCCTCCCTGTGCCTCCCGCTTTGCATTTTCCAGCAGATAGGCATTTGGGGCTACCTATTGTTTCAGAGGAGGAGAGAGAGCTGAAGAAATTGCAGCATCTCTCTTTCTTGGCCTCTCCAGTTGCCTCCTTACCCCCCACCCCAAAAGCATCCCCTCCTGCCCCTTCCTGAGGTCACTTTCCCAGCTTCAGAGAATAGTTTTGTTTTGTTTTCTCAGGAATCCAGAAGGCCAAGGCGCTATAAGCTTGCTTGTGAAATAACTTTTCTAAAATTTCTCTTCCACATATGCACACAAATGTCTAGCCTATCTGCCTACTTTAAATCATTGATATTTTAAAGACAAGGAGAGAGGAAACTTGCTTTCCTGACCTCTCTGCAAGAACTTAGATGCAACTTGGATGCTTAACTGTGCAGTTTGAGTGGCTATGGATTTTTGCACCTATGATATCAACGTTGCTATTATAGGTATACATAGAAACACAGCAAGTCAGAAGGGTCTCCTGGGCCATCTGGTCTGGCCCCTGGCTCCAGCCGGCCCTGCTCACGACAGGCCCACCATGTGGATGTCCAGCCTATCCTTGAACACCCGCACCGATGGGGCCTCAACCACCTCCCAGGGAAGCCCATTCCATACCCTTGGGGTCATAACTGTCAGGAAGTGCTTCCTGGCATCCAAACTGAACCTTGGTTCCCTGAGCTTTGCTCCATTGGAATGTGTCCTGCCGTCCTCTGCAGGAGAGAACAGGTCTCTACCCACCTCCATGTGACACCCCCTCACAATGTTCATCTGGAAGGACCTGTTTTTGCAGAAGCCATGTTATGTGGCTGCCAACCTCCCTTCCTTATCTAAGGTTACTAGCTCTCTTGCAATTATGAGCCATTGTCTTTCCTAGAATGGACATAAGGCTAAGCAACCTAGTCCCCTCTACTACCCTTTTTGAGAAATGGGACCACTGACGGCATCCTCCAGTTCTTTGGGACCTCACCCATTCTCCATGAGGCCTGAAAAATGGAGGCCAATGTACACGAGAGTACTCTTGCCAACTCCTAAAGTACCATCAGGTGCAACCCATCAAGTCCTGGCACCTTTGTAATGTCCTTGCCCTAAGGAGCTCCTCGACTTCTGGGGCCAGGGTTGACTCTAATCTGTACCCCTAACTTCCAGGCCGCATCTGGTTCCCCCATGTAGATCTCTCCTCCATCCTTCTTTGGAGGGAACATGGAGGCAAAATAATCATTTAGCATCTGTGCCTGTTCCCTCACATCAGTCACCGAATTCCTTTCTTCCTTATTAAGCAGTCCCATCTCCTGTCTCCCCTTCCTCTTGCTATTTACATGTTTATACCAAACTTCAGACTTGAGGATTGTGGGGATGGAATCAGCATGAAATATGCCAGTTCTCAATGCCACTTTCCAGTCATTACCTTGCAGGAAAAAACCACCCAGAAATTACAACTTTCCAAATCTATTTTCATATTTTTAAAAGGTCTTTCTTTACATGCATTTGCATGTAATTTGTGGTTGGCCCCACAGGAAGAGTGTTCAAATGTACTGAAACAAAAGGTCCCAGTGAAGAAAGTAACTGCTTCCAGGAATGGTGACCAGAAAGCAAGGAAAAGAGGGTACCCAGGCTGTTAGCAGCAGTGTATAATGTGGACATTTATAACATTTTAACACCCTGGTTTCTGACTTCTAGTTGAGCAGATCAGAGGAAGCTGTCTCAGCTGGTCTCAGGACCACTGGATACAAGCAAGTCAAGCTCTCAGAGAACAAATGAGTGAAATGAGTGAGCAAACAGGGAGAGCTAATGGGGGTCTGGCAGCAGAGTGGTAGTGGAAGAGGAGACAAAGGCAGAGGCAAAGGGGGTGAGGGGCCTGGACTAGCCCAACAATAGACTTTTCGAATAGACTGTGTGCTCCTGAGAGCTGCAGCTGAAAGTGGCCTGATTAGCAGCAGCAGCAGCTGTGTGGGTGGGAAGATTCATTCTGGTTCCTGACTCCCAGCTGAGCAGATCAGAGGAAGCCACCCCAACTGTTCTAGAGACTCTGGAACACAAGCAGCCCAGCTCCCACAGAGCAAGTGATCAGGGAGAGCCAACCAGAGTTTGGTGGGGGAGGTCAGGCAGGAGGTTCCTCCCCCCCCCCCGTTTTTCTCCACTTTGTTTTCTTTCTTTTGACCCACTCCCATTTACTGGAAGGACTACGTTGTTAACCTTCAGGGATGGCAGGAGAAAGCACTGGTTGTTAGGACAGGCTCAACAAGGTAGAATCAAAAAGGCAGCAGACAGAATGTACCAAGAAGACTCCCCAGTGGTGGCAACTCGCAAGGACTGTGCAATGTTTGTTTTCTTGCCTGAGTACAACGTGCCCTACACATGCAACAAGAACTGGGCATGTTTATCCTTGAGAAGAGAAGACTGAGGGAAGTATGATAGCACTCTACAAAGACTTAAAAGACTATCACAAAGAGGAAGGACAGGATCTCTTCTTGTTCATCCCAGAATGCAGGACACAGAATAATAGGTTCAAGCTACAGCAAGCCAAATTCTAGCTGGATATCAGGAAAAAATTCCTGACTCTTAGAGCAGTACAACAATGAAACCAATTACCCTGGAAGGGTGTGGGCTCTCGCACACCAGAAGCATTCAGAATGGAAAGGATAGTTTAACTTGGTGTCCTGCGCTAGCAGGGGGATGGATCTAATGGCCCTCTGGCCCCTTCCAACTCAGTATGCTACGCTGCGAGTTGCTGCAGATGCTGTCCAGCAGGAGAGGGAGTGAGCAAACCTGCACGTTCTGAAATACCTTCCCAGAAAACATTCAAGCTCTCTGAAACATCATGTGAGTGTATGCAATAAAAAGTAGAGAAAGGGAAATACAGAAGTTATTTGATAACAGGTTAAAAAGCACAAATACACAATTTCAGAACTGAGATGCTTTTGGGATGGCAAAGTAGGTGTCAGAATCCAAAGCATGGCAGCAGGTTCAGCTTAGGAACACCAAGACATAGACATCATAATCCCAAGTATTAACCAAAGTCCAATCCGAATTCCAAGCTGATAATAGACAAGCACAAACCGGGAGTCAAGAGCCAGGAAGTCCACACAAGGAGAGGACAAGGCCCAGAGGCACGGACAGCAGCCAAGGATTTGGAGCAGGAGCAGACACAGGTCCAGAGTGAAGGGTCCACAGCCAAGGTTTCACATAGCAACAAGGAGCACTACAACAAGCCAAGAAACCATCATTATTGAGGCAACTCCTGGAGCGAGGAGCCAGTTCTTATATAGCTCTTCCCTTGGGGGCTCCCAGGTGATGTTTGAAAGGCCCCTAATAGCTGCACTAGGTTGTGGGTCCAATCCTGCAACTACCAGGGTTGTTATTTTGGCCTTTGGCCAGAAGATGGAGCCTTGGAGCTGCCTCAGATCCTAACAGTATGAAGGAATGAGATTTCCTGTACAATCTGGCCTCTATATGATGTTTTTGAAATGGAGGTTCTATTACTGTGGTTCATACCATTTTGTGAGACCTTTCCTTCTAATGTCTCTTTTTTTCTAAAAAGCTCGTCAAAGCCTGGGTAGTTGTCTTGTAGAGTCCTATAGGTTAATTTTACAGGGGATAATGGGGTGCTGGTCTGCAAGATTTGGTACAGGGCTGAGAAATTGTTCATAATAAGGAAGACTTTGTATTATGGGAACCAAGGAATCCTGAGAAGGAAGTGGGTTCTCCTTTAGATCTAGCCAACCCTTTCTGTTGCACCCATGGTCATCAGAAAACAGGCTGGCTGAGATTCAGGGCATAGGCCTCATGTTGCCAACCTTTAAAATGTTCCTGAATTCACTGTAAAAAACATTTCCTTTTCAGGGGCAATACAGCTGAGGAGGTTTTTATCTAATGAATTAGAATTTTTAACCCAGATGATGAATCGAAGGAACTTGCTATGTCTGAACATCCAGGATGTGACTTGAAAAACAAGAAGGGGAAAGTAAAACATCTTTGTATCACATCTCATCCTGCACATGGGAAGACATTTCAACGTGTGGATCACAACATATACAGACCTTTAATATTTTTGTATCTAAACAATGCCATATGCTGATAATATAATGTAAATAAAATAGATTTGTCATTCCAGGGACAGATGATTATTAAACTGTGAACATTTATTCTCAAATATGTAGATTTTGAAACTCAAATACTTTGTCCACCTAATGAGAAGGAACAACTCACTGGAGAAGACCCTGATGCTGGGAACAATTAATGGCAAAAGGAGAAGGGGACAGCAGAGGACGAGGTGGCTAGATGGAGTCACTGAAGCAGTGGGTGTGAGCTTGGATGGACCCTGAGGGAAGGTGGAGGGCAGAAGAGCCTGGTGGAATGCTGTCCATGGGGTTGTGATGGGTCAGGGTTAACTTTGCAACTAACAACAACATGTAGATTTTAATGTTTCTTCCATGCAAAAATCAATTACAGTTTTTCTGTATTCTTGCCAATAATTACTGGGGTTTGTCTCCAACATTTGGCATAGAATAGGCTATCTGCGATTATCAGATTAGTTTTCTAGCTCTGCTGTGAAAGGGATCACTGATACATAGAAGGAGCAACCACGATGAATTATGGTCCCACACACAGACATGTACCCAAATAGAGCAGATATTGAAGATTCCAGGGACAGGGGTACACATGTCCTAAAAAGCCAGAGAAATCTCATTACCATGAGTCTGTTGTGTTGGCTGCACCCAATTGCAGAGTTCCTGTGTAGTAGAATTGGTTTTCTGACATCATGGAGGGAATCAGTGATCAGTTTTACTGTCACTTCTCCAATCATTTGGATCCAGGATCACCATTTTCCCATTATTGGCAAGAGCAGCCACGGAAGTGAAGGCTTCTTGCCTTTGATCTCTATTGCCTTCAGCTCCCTAACAAGACATACCTCATTGCTCACTTTATTCCCACTGGTTGAATAATGTGTCCACATCCATCGTCAGGATCAGGTCTGGTTCTTTGGGCATGAAGACAACCCTGTCTGCAGGTTGTGTCTAAGGGTCCACCATGAGAGGCTTACACCACAACCACTTCTGGACCAAATCGTGCTGGGGCCAGTAGGCGCACCTGAACCAAAGCTGCAGTCTTGTGAACAGGACAACCATGACCATTGCTGCCATAAGTCCAAGGAACCGGGGCACCCACTGCATCATTGTCCTGGGCTCAATCTGGAGTTGTGAAGCTAAACCGACCAGCACTGTTGCCATGTCTGCTGGAAGATCCGCCTGTGCCATCATGGATTCTAGTTTCACTCCAATATAAATGATTGACTAGGAGGGAAGAAGCACAGATTTCTTGATTTTCTGGGTGCACAGTCCCAGTCTCTCCAAAAACTCACATGTGTCCCAGATGGAACCCAAGAGATCTTCCCAGGATGGGGAAGACCTGGATTCCCTGTAGCCAGAGGTGGGTGCACACCATGACCATGCATTTGGTGAAAACCCAGGGCGCTGTGGAGGCCAAACTGGAACACAGAAATCTGAAAAGTGCTGGGCCCAATTTGGAACCAGAGAAAATGCCAGCAGTCCTGAGAAATGGTAACATGAACATATGCATCTCTTAGACTGACTGAGGTGAACCTGTCCCAAAGGGAAGTGTCAAATTCTGCACAATATCCACTCTTCATAATGGAGAGAATCCATTGATCCAATGTTCTGGCTTCCCATGTGGGAAGGTAGGTGGCAAGGTTACCTTTGAACCATACCGGCACTGCTGCAGGGGGCTGGTTCAGTACAGCAGTCAATGGCAGCACCTCTCAGTGGTCAGCTTTTCTTTTGAGAATGCTGGAACTGAGAGGTGGCACTCCTTTGGTGTGGCTGGGCAGGTTGCTGCTGGTGTGTGGGCTGGTGGTATTGGCCCCAAGGCCACTTAGGTGTTTAACCCTAACCTTTGCCATAGCCTTGTCTTGCGGGATGCTATCCAGTTTCTCATGCATCCAAGCCCTTGCTGTCAAAGGGCATCTCTGCAATCCTGAACTGAGCCTCCTGTGATAGGCTCACTGCCTGGAGCCAGTCATGTAGCCAGATTGCCACCACACTGGCAAGAGCCCTGTAGTCACAGTCAATGTGGCAGAGGCCAGTCTTGATTTGCTTCCTGGACAGTCTGAAGACCTGCAATACGCTAGCCAAATTGTGATGATCCTACTCTCACAGGAAGACCTGATAGCGCCCCATGGTGGCCTCGTAGTTGGAGATGTGGAGGCCCAGTCCCACTGCTGCTTAGACCCACTTAACCACAGTGTCTGAACAGTGTCCCTCCTATATATACAGGGAAGAGGGGCAGGGCTCCTGCCAGAACCAGTTTAGCTAGGAAAATCTTCCCAAGAGGCCCTGTGTAGACACAGAGCCCACATGTGTGATCCACAGAGACCATGAAGAAGAGGGCTGATTTTAGTATCCAGAAAGTTTACCTCTGCTATGACTGGAACACCCATTCATCCAGGTTAAGTGGGGGTGAGAGAGAACAGTCATCCTTGTATGATTCCCCCACCCCACCCCATATGTAATTTCAATTTCCATCTCAAGGTCCTCTCAATAATTTTGTCAGGGAGGTGAAATAAAGTAGTACATCAATAAATTAAGAAAGGACAGAAATATCATATTCTAAATACACTTTTTATTCTCAGTCACATGAACAACTGTAGACAACTTTCAGCAACAGCTTTAATGCATTATACAAAATTCTCCCACTTCCCTGCCGTCTCATTCCTTCAACTTTTTGATGAACTGAAAAGTTTGCAGTAGCACAGTAAACATCAGTTTTTCTAACACTGAAACACACAAAAAACCAAGGAAACCAATATATATACACACATATGTAAGAAACTGAACTGGCTTGTGTTGGGTAGGAATAGCACAATAAATAGGCATGTTATTATATTTCTTTTGAAAATTGTACAGCTTTCTCTTTAAAGTAGTTAGGTATGTTAGCTAGACAAGAAATACTATAACATAATACAGTTATTAGGGATTTCAGCAAATGAGTGGTTTACACTAATCATTCATACACTACTGTTCATGAACACAGCACAATGAAAACAAAACACTCTACAAAACTGATGAGAATTTAAGGTGCATTTCTATTTTTTTACTTGCATTATTTGAAGTCAGTTGAAACCTGGGCGAAGAAAAAACAGTATCTTGCAGCTGGGTTTCAGATCTACACTGATCTAGAATTACACTGGAAACAGCAGTGTTAATGACCCTGTGGCTAAAACAACCCCACTGCAAACATACTCAGCTGGAAGAATTTGGAGCCTTTACACTTGGTTACAGTTCATTATAAAGAACAAGGGTGGCAACAGCAAGTACCATCATTCTGCAGTCTTGTTGCCAGGATTTCTGTTGTGCACACTAGTGAAATTTGCAGTCCAACGATATAACAGAATTATAACTCTATAATTTTATTTATATAACAGAATATATAAATAAATTCTTTAATTATAATTGCTCTGAGTGGGGTTTTTTGCTTGGGTGTCTTGTTTTGCACCAGTTGTGCAATGGTGTTCATTAGTAAAAACTATTATTGTCCTCACTATTGAAATTCCAATTATTCAGGAACAGCAACTGATTTATCTGATATAAGGAAATGTCTCCACCCATTGGAAGTTGATTCAGAAAGATCTCCTGCAAGTCCGAGGCAACATTAAGAGGGCATTCCTTTCAGCTCTGTTAAAAGGAAAGCTTTGGATATCGATACTCTCTTCTCTATAAACAAGAAATGTTACTGGGCTGTTTCATAGGATTTTAATTTTTATTATGGTATAACAACCAAAGAACAAAAAGTTTATAGGAAGTAGGAGAGGTGACTGTATACTTGGTCCACAGTTTGTCAACGCAATGCATAAAGACAAATCATCAAACTACATGGACAGATGTTTCTGAATTTACACCTTGAAGAGGAGGGGGCAGAGTTATTCCTATAGCCAGCAGTAGAAATTCATGGCTTTTGATATCTAAACAAAGGTGTAATTCCTACACTAAGAATAGATATATGCAAAGGAATGCCCAACAGCAACCTCTTTGTCCAATAATTCCAACCCTACAGATCTTCAGTTCTTTTGATGAAATGGGGAAGAAAGTATTGAAGGAGTAGCATAGCAAAGTAATTTAATTACAGTTTTGGTTTTTCATGCTGGCAATAGCAGCATTAAAGTACAATAAATAAATCCCTGAAGCATTAGAACTACTCAAATACATGGCCCTGAACCAGGAAAACGTGTTCAACTGCCCTTATGCCATCAGTACACAACAGCATGTGTTTTTCCTCCAGAATCCATAGTCCCACCACTTCGATTTCTTCTAGACAGAGAAGGTCAAATCTGATGGAGGAGACTCCAAGCCTTACAGGAACCTTCACAAAACCTGCTCTACACACTTAAGCTCAGATTTACACACACACAGTGCTAACAAACTAAATAGGAATGTTTTAAAAGATAAAAGTAATGTTCAGGAAATTGTACATTTTATCTTTTATCATTGGAAAAGCAAGAAATGTAAAATGAGAAACACACGCCAGTGGTGCTCCAGGAAGAATCATCCTCTAGTCTTCCAAGCTGCGGAATGCATTCTGCATGTCTTCAAACAGCTGGGCATAGTCTGCTTTGATCTTTGCTTCTCCATCTTTCACCGGGTCCTGACATTTAAATAAAATGTGGTATAGATTTTTTTAAACAAATGCACTCATTCCTAGAAGTGTGTTCTGCCCACTTAAGCAGATATCAAGAAGTATTTTAAGACTTTCTTTCTGCTTCTAGTGAAGAAAACACACAGGTCAAAATGCAAGAGTTACCATCTTCCAGCAAAATGGAGAAAGTAGCTAAAACAGATTTTTTCCCTCTTCCTGTATGTACCCAAAAGCTGTTCTGGGAGGTTGGGGACCCTCTAGAGTGGACTAAATGGGCATACACATGGCTGCTGGGAGGAGGGGAAGTCCGATTACAGAGAGAGAAGTCTGATCATGTGACAATGAACCCTGCTATACTGCTGAGGACTTCAGCAAAATGTATTGCAAATGATATTGTGAACAGACTGCAATTCGGTCCACATCAGAGTTGGACTAATCATTGGTCTCAAATTTGTAGTATAATTCCATGGAGTGGGGGGAGACATAAAAGTGAGTGAGATCACTCACTTTTATGAGTTTGAGTGAGTGAGATCACTCCTGTGATAGTCAAGCTTTGCTCCGTGTTTCCCTTAGGTATTATCAAAGTGGAAGAAGAGTTATCTGAGATAATTTTGTCTTATTTTTATGGTTCAGGTCAAATGACCACATAAAACACTTAAAGAACAAGAAATGGTTGGCATCTGCTTGATGAGATCACATCTATTAATTGGAAAAAACAGCATAGGCCAAACTGGGAAGAGCTGTTTAAAATATAATAATCAAATTAAGAGGAAGTTAGTCAAAATCTTGAGTTGTTTTCCTCACATGAAAAAGTACCTAGGATAGAGGACGGGAGTATTTAGCTGTTGCTTTGTTATAACCTTAACATACCTTGAATTTCATTGAGGTGAGTCGATAGAGAATCTCACTCATGTTTTCTCTGATAATGGACCAAGTAATTTTATTGTCACTTTGTGCGGTGGTCTCAACTGCTCGACGTGCCATATCATAGAATGCAATCATGTTTGTCAGTATACCAACTGTCTTATAAAACGGGCAAAACCTAGTGGAAACAACACAGCAGTCATCATCAGCTCAACAGATGCCTAGGAATCAACAGCTAAATTAATCTGAAAGTTATTTCTGCCTTAACTTTTTATTCCTAGACTTTCATCCCTCTGAGCATCATGGTGTTAAGCTATGAAAACACTTGTGGTTGACATATGTTCCTGTTCCATGCTCAAGAACCACCTCCACATATAAACCAAATGGCAGATGTATCACAGAATAGCAATTCTTCTGCTAGATATAAACATTTAAAAATGGTTGCAAAAAGGCATGTCAATGCAAGACAGTATGACACAAGCCTGTGGCAAAAGTAAAGAGTATGGGTGCAGAGTGCAGTTTCCACAGATTGCTGTCCATGCAGGGCTTCATTCAAATGCTAGAAGCATGTTTCTAGCTTTTATGGCAGCTGAGTCAGAGGACAGAAGGAAAAAAATCTGGTTAAGAGATACACTTCAGTGCCCCACAAAGAGGAGGAGGGGAACTCAGAATTTGGCAATTTCAAGGTTACCTAGTGAAGTTTCTCAGGCAGAGAATGAGACTTCACCTGCTTTGGAAGGGGAGGAAGGGTTTTCAGGATGGGAGGAGGGCAGATGTGAAACCTAGTCCAAGACCCAGGAAGGAAGTGATGGGAGAAACAACTGCCCAGTTAAAGGGTCTCTGGTGCTCCTGCCCATCTTGCCCTCGAACAGCAACAGCCACCCAGAGGGTGGAGCCAGAAGCTTCACTGAAAGGGAGGGACTGAAAGGGAAGATTCCAGTTTGAAGTCAGCTCTTTACTTCTCCCTCAACTTTGGCAGAAGGTTGTTTAGCATTCATCATGTTGTGCAATCTGTAAAGTTTCAGTAAAAGAATTGTATTCCAAGAGACTGTCTTCAGTTTGATAACCAGAAGGAAAGAGAGATGGGACCAGATCATGCAGAAGCTACTAGACTGAAGCCACCACAAAAGGGATTTGAGTCCCAAAAAGACAGACACCAGGCAGTCCCCTCCCATTGTGTTCATAAGCTGTTAACGTTGCAAGATCAGTTGAAGAGCTTGAGATGCTGTTTCTCTAAGACACAAAGCCCATGAAAGCACTAGCATGCTCCAGAGACAGTGCATGGAAAATGAGCTATCAGGTGGGAGGTCTCATTACCTGAAGTAACAGTGCACACAGTTTTACCTGTTCCAGTAATACATCCACGTTATCAATAATTACTCTGAGGTGTTGCAAGTTGACTTGTGGGTTATTTTTGTCCGGAAGATTACAAAACCACAACCCTGAAGCTGCCCCACTTGTCTCCCAGCTCAAACCTGCTCTCTTCAGTTTGCAGGTGCCGGTGCAGAGTGCTGCATCAGATTAAAATCTGTCCCCAAGCTGTCAATGAGAACAGTTTCCCATGGAGGAAGCCAACCCACCCACTGCATACCTGTCATAGGGGGTATAGCCATTCTGTTGCAGGAAATCATCCTTAATGAGTTTGGCAACTTCCAGTGTGATTTTGTCTGTTTCTGCCAAGGAAGCCTAAATGGAAAGAGACCTGTTAGGATGCTGGCGACATACAAGAATGTGAGGGGGTGTCACACAGAGGTGGGTAGAGACCTGTTCTCCCCTGCAGTGGAGGGCAGGACATGGTCCAATGGAGCAAAGCTCAGGGATGCAGGGTTCAATCTGGATGCCAGGAAGTACTTTTTGATGGTTAGGACCCCTAGGGCATGGAATGGGCTTCCATGGGAGGTGGTTGAAGCCCCAACCGTGAGGGTGTTTAAGGATAGGCTGGACATGCACATGGTGGGCATGTCGTGAGCAGAGCTGGCTGGAGCTGCGGGTCAGACTAGATGGCCTAGGAGACCTTCTGACTCACTCTGTTTCTATGTCTGCTACTTTCTTTTTCTTTTCTTTTATTTTTTATACTGCCCAATAGCCAAGGCTCTCTGGACAGTTAACACAAGTTAAAAACACAAACAAAAATTAACATAAAAATAAAACCACAGCAATTGCAACTGAATCAACATAGAGGCAAGTATATCGTTCAATAGTAAATAAGATCCCTTGTTTGGATATCTGTGTTCTCCTTTTCCCAGTTGTTCTAGGTTCTGAGAAATCTCAAACCTCCAGGCAGTAATCCATTATTTACTGCCTATCATTAAGGGTTTACTTCCATCTTGAAAGTCAAAGGAAATAAATCCCTTTTGACTAGGTTCATATTACTCATAAGTTACAGCACTTTGAAGATGTATTTACCCCCCCTTTGACTTTTCCACATTTTTTTGTTATAGACTATAATTTAAATGGATTTAATTGGCATTGTTACTACTCAAGGCACACAAGTTTGGTGAAGAGTAAAGAAACAGTATCATGATTACCAAGAAGTTACCAACTCTGGGATAATGTACAGAAATACTAATCAAGTGTAGGTTATTTTTAAAAATCCACATTATGAACATCCACTGCAACACTGTTGAATCCATTTTACAAAATGGAAAGAACATTGCTCAACCCTGATTCTGCCTAGAGAAGGCTGTTCACCAGCATGAGTCAGACACGTGAGGAAAAAGCCAGTGGTAAATCTAGGGAGCTGAGAGAACAATGCTGAGATGGGAGAAACTGTCCATGGGACAACTATTGCCTGGAGACTTGATAAAACTGGCTTTACAGAAGAGCGGTGAAAAGAAAGCCATTGCTGAACCAAACCAACATCTGAGCCTTGCAAAAAGGCATGTAAAAGTGGGAAATGGTTCTCTGGCCTGCTGCAACTAAAGCAGAACTTTTGAGTCTTGCTGCAAAATACTATGTGATGCAAACTGCCCATGAACACACCACTTTCATGATGAAGCGTGATGGTAGCAAAACCATATTGAGGGGTTGCTCTTCCTCAGCAGGGACCAGGGAAGTGGTCTGGATTGATGACAAGATGAATGGACAGGGCAATTCTAGAGAACCACCTGCCTCAGTCTACAAGGGACCTGGGACTGGGGTGGAAGTCTGCCAGACTTCACTCTGAGTGTGGCAAAACTTGAAAGTTGTTGTTCATAAACAGTCCCCTTCCAAACTCATGGAGCTGGAGCAATATTGCCAGGAAGGAAGGCTATCACCGCAGGATCCAGATATGTAATGCCAATAAAGATCTACCCAAAATGACTCATATCTGAAATTGCTGCAAAAGTTCTTCCTACCATGTATTGACTCAAGGGTGAAAATTCATGCAACTAACAATTGTCAGTTTTTGTTTAACTCTTGTGTCACAATTAAAATATTTTGCACCTTCACAGTGCTAAGTATCTCGTGAATCTCAAGTGTTAACAATGCCACTTAACTCAATTTCAATTCCAGGCTGTAACAAAATGTGGAAAAGTCAAAGCAGGGGAGGATTTAATACTTCTGCTATCACTATCAGTGGTTAAGTAGTACTAATTAGTGGTACTAATATACTTTCAATAATTCCTTGCCAAACCCATTAGCAAGGCACCAATTCAGCTCTGTACTCACTCTTTTAGAAGCTTATTGGCAGCCTGTACCAAGCAGTGATAAGAGAAAGGACAAATAGCTTCAAAGTGTCTCTTTCGGCTTCACTCACCTTCCCCACTAGCTGTACAATCTCTGCAAGATCTTCCTCTTCCTGTAGAATCTCCTTAGCTTTAGTTCTCAAGGGAACAAACTCTGGGAAATGCTTGTCATAATACTCATCCAAAGCACGTGTGTACTTGCTATAGCTGATCAGCCAATTCACAGATGGGAAGTGTTTACGTTGAGCAAGCTTCTTATCCAAGCCCCAGAATACCTGCCAAAAGACCCCCAGACAGAACCAGTTTGGCCATAAGTATTATTGATTGCTTCTGCAGAATTAACTAATGTAACCACAGTACAGCGTGACACTACACTAGATGCCTTCACATCTGCATTCCAACCATCCTCCAAATACATGTTTGCATGCATGGGGTTATTTGCTTTGAATTTCACAACCAACCTGTATGGCAGGTTAAGGTGACGGGGGTAACTTGACTAAGAAAGTTTCACAACTGAAGAGAAATATAGGACTTTAACATCTGATGTCCCGTATAGTCTGGTTGCTAGTTCATGCATTGGTAACCTTACGTTTCAATAACTATAAAAGCATTTATGGAGGGCTATACTAGTGCCTGGTCCTGAAGCTGCAGCTGAAGAAGTAAGTGCCAGCCACTGCACTGAATGGATTGCCTGGCTACCATGCATTACAATGGTGTTGAAGCAATTGCACTGGCTAGTTATTAGCTACAGCATTTTCAAGGACAGGTTAGCTCAGAATCAGGTTCCTTGGTGGATTCCCTTCCACAACAAAGACTTGTGGAATCATTAAAATCAGCAGAGGAGGCCTTGCATCCTGCAAATAGTCACTCCACAGCACTCTGGAAGCAGGTCTTTTCTGTGAGAGCATCCACTTTAAAGAATGTCTTCTCCTTGTATCCAGGATGACAGGGCATATTTTAGGCATTAATTATGAGTGGGAGACTCAAAAACCCCATGAATTTCTTTATCAAAAATCATGTATTTATTTTTACATGTTCAACTTCAGTAACCTTCAAAGTACTCTCTATTTGATAGAATACAGCTATAGAGACATTTTTTTCCACAGCTCAAAACCGGTTCTGAACTCACTGATTTTGATGCCTTTTAGTGTTTCTGCTGTTTTTTGTTTCACCTCTTCCACACTGGCAAAACGTTTCCCTTTGAGAACTTTTTCATCCAGGGAAACAAAGTCACACAGAGTGAGATCAGGAGAATAGCAGGGTGGTCAAAAATTGCTGAACACTCAGCTGAACAAAGTTTCACAGTCACAGGTTGTTCATGCAAATCAGCCATCATGAAATAGGCAAACGTGTTGAAAGAGTCTCCAAAAAAACCTCTCTGAAGCTGAATGCAGCCTCTCACAACCACCCAGCTGGGTACACTGATGAAGATGGGTTTCTGGAACACTTACCTAGTGGGGAAAGCTTGTACTGCCAGGGGCCCACCCTGCAGGAGGTAATTCTTGGTTTTTTGGGTCCCCACTCGTAAAGGCCCAACTCTTTATCTCAGCATTCTTCTACTGATTATGCTGTCCAGTTTATTACTTAATTATAGCATTGTGGGTACTTGGCTGTAGCACAGTGCTCTTTAATACAATGCCTTTTAAGACTTTGTGTTTTTATATATGCTAAGCAGTACATATAACTCTTAAATAAATAAATTAGCATAGGTAAGTGACTCAAACGTGTGTGGTGGACCACTGATCGGGTTTCTTATTTATGCAGTTCAAATATTTGGAACCAAAGGACCATAAAGAACAGTGCTAAAATATGCCCTAATTGAAACTCAACTGGTATACTGTGGTCCACTGCAGTTAAAATCAAACTAACCTGATATATCCTAAGTGCTTTTAGTTCCACTTTGGAACTGCCACCTGCGCCCTCCTGCGAGGTCAGCACCAATCAGGTATCCCGCAGGCAAGTATACAAAGCTGTATGCATGCAGCCAGAACCACAGCTCAAAGACTGGACAGTCAACCAGCTGCAGTGGCAGAATGCTGATTAGATAGGCCTTTGGTCTGATTAGTAGGGATCTTATATTAACTTGAGGAGTTGCATAAAGAGACATTAAATATAGCCATGGTTGAATTTAAAACAAAAGGGAGATGAAACAAAATGATTTAAGGAATCATTTATGAAGCATACAAATTTGGGAAACAGAAATTTGAGAAAGCAGACTATTAAAATACTTGCTCAGCAGCTGTAGGTTCATTAGGTTCGTAGAAGTTCATTAGGTCATGAAGAACTAATCTTATAGGAATTTATATGGAGCAACATGTAATGGCCATAATTTTATACATCATTTCTTGTTGTAAAAAAAATGACTGGACTAATATGGCCTGTAGAGCTTCTTCATGGATTTCTCCAGGGGGCAGACCTCCAAACCCAATACCCAAGAATATTCACTCATCTCCAATCACAGACTGGAGTTAAGAGCCAGGAAGCAGATGGAATTTTGCTAGCTGAACTGGAACATTCTACCTGCTGACTCAGTTGGGGCCACTTCATCTGCAGTGTCCTTTCCTATATGGAGAGCATCACATGTGCAGCATCAGACACAAATGAGTGAGAAGTTTCCTCATTAGGGAAGCGATTGATGCTGGGATAAAATCATGCCCTGACTTCATTCAGCCCAGAGAAGGCTAGGAAGGAGGCATCCCCCCATTTACTTGCAGTAAAGATGTATCCCTGATCATATTAGAAGAAATATACCTGCATATTCTTTAAAAGGAATAAGATGTGTGGTTTCAGAAGCCAGGGAAAGTATAGGAAAAAGTTTTAAATATGAATTTACTTAAGTGGAAACATTGAAAACTGAACTATGATATTCAGACTGAATTTGCTTAACACAGAACATACTTCTAGAAATAAACAGAAAGACCGCAATTAATAGCCTAAATGGACTGCTTTGGAAGATTTATCCCAAACTCATGGGTGTTCCATAGTCCTCTTTGTGCAGCCATCTTTAAAATGCATTATGCTTGTTCCAAACTGCTATCTTCAAGAGGAGCCAGTCCAGGAACCCATTTTGACAAAGATTCTTGAAAGGTTGGCACCGTAATATGAAATACCCTCAGTGTCACTGACTCGACTCACAAGGGTGCACACCAGCAGTCTCAGTTCTCGATTGGCCAGAATATGTCTGGAAAAATCATGCACTGGACAAACCCTAGTCCTTCTTCAGATCCTCATCACTGGCTGGACTGACACATGCTTCAAATGGAAGTATGCATTCTTTTGAGAAGACAAAACCTCAAATTACCTGAACAATGCCCAGAGTAGCAGAAGTAACTGGGTCAGAGAAGTCACCACCAGGAGGAGATACACTGAATAGGGATGGAAAAGAGAGGGGTAGGGAACACATGAACAGCAGCAACACCTATATCCAAACAAGGGGAAACAGCAATTGTATGACTTTTCAATTCTAAGATATTCAACTGATAACAAAGTTCATCTCCTTCTGAAACAGAACAGAAAAAATACTGACTCCTTGATGAAATATTTTAAATCTTGTCTATATCATCAGTTGATGCCAGACAAACAATACCTGTCTACTGGAGTGGACAGGTATTCTTAGGCTATTCCACCCAACTGCATTTAATTTACTGTCACATGGGCATAGGAAGCTGTCTTATACCAAGTCAGACCATTGGTCCAACAGGCTCAGTGTTATCTACATGGACTGACAAGGACTTCAAAGGTTCCAGAGACTGAACCTGGGACTCTCTGTGTGCAGAGTTCTTGCTCTACTGCATAACGATGACTTTTCCTTTAAGAACATCTTACACAAGCTGCTAGGTTAAGAAGAGGACTACTCATCCAAATGCCAACAGACAGGATCTTCGGTGGGATATATATTCTGATTCAATCCTGTAGTTCTTAAGAAGGTGCCTGAGACACACTATAATTTCAAGAGACATCCAAAAATATGGAAAGGCAAAACTATGCAGGAGTAAAAAACTTGCTCACACACAGTGTTCCTCATTTAATCTTGCCTTATAATCCCTCTATACTTTTTAATGCTCTCTCAGGAACACTTTCATGCTCCCCATTTCCTTCTTTTGTATCACAGTGAGGACTAAGTTTCTAGTTTTACTTAGTCAAGGTTATTTTTTGTTTTTTGCACTTTGCGCAAATGTCAGCTCAAGTAGCAAATACGAGCTATGCAAAAAGAAAGGATTTTGCCATAAATACTCACGCTCCAACAATGCTGACACTTCCTTCCCTTTCTGGGTTACCTAAACACTTCACTCTGCCAGCCCGTTCATAGAAAGAGGCCAGACGAGCACCAAGATAGGCTGGATAACCGCTGTCTGCAAACATCAACAGAAGCTTAGTTGGCTTCACCATCTACAAGACAGCTCAGTGCTTTTGGACAAAACGTCCAAGATGCTCGGCAAGAAGGAGACACTTACCAGCAGGCATCTCAGCAAGGCGTCCTGAAATTTCTCGAAGGGCCTCTGCCCATCGGGATGTGGAGTCAGCCATCATACTGACATGATAGCCCATGTCACGGAAATACTCAGACAAAGTAATCCCTACAATAAACAGCAATTGCAAATCAGTGGCCACAGACTGCAGAGATTCTGGTCTATTAAGCTTGCTGAGAAACTTTTTAGAAACAATTCTAGACTTTTAGATCTGTAAAACAACAACAGTGTTAGGATAAAAGTTAGATCATTCCCCAGATTCTTTCCTCTCTGTCATTTTATAATACCTATTTATTTATTTAAAACATTTCTATGCCGCCCCCATCACAACAAAGCCTCGGGGCGGCTCACAACAAAAACAAACAAAAGCATATAAAAATTATACAATAAAAATATTAAAAACCGGTGCATCTTGGCTTAAATTTTTTTTGTTAAAAAACCTACATAATAAATTAACAATTAAAATAAGTTTTAAATAAAAAGGTCTTAGCCTGGCGCCGAAAAACAAATAACGATGGCACCAGGCAGACCTCTCTGGGGAGCGCATTCCATAGGTGGGGCGCCACCGCAGAGAAAGCCCTCCTCCAGGTACTCACCCTCCTAATATCATTCACAGAGGGTTCCCAGAGAAGGGCATGTGTTGCTGATCTTAAGGGGCGGGAGGGCATATATGGACGCAAGCGTTCCTTTAGATACCCAGGGCCCAAGCCATTGAGGGCTTTATAGGTCATAACCAACACCTTGAATTGTGTTGGATTTAGCCCAACACCTTTATAAACCATTATGCCTGGCGCTCACGGCACTGCTGATATTTACACCAGCATTTATAGTTTCATAAATAGAAACTTTAGTATTTTTACATGATTTAAAATAAATAGAAAAAGTAGTACTTTCTAGGATGAAGGGACTACAAAGGGAAAAGCAGTACGCTAGAATAACAAGGCTGCTTTCTTTTGGCACATGCAGCAGCAATAACAACAGACCTTCTCCAAGGTTCTTGATGCGTTTTGCATACACTCAAGATTTTGTGTAGTTCTACTTTTTTCTTATTAAACTGTTTTTGCTTGTTGTGTAGTTTAACAAAGGTGTGTTAGCGCATCTCTATAATACTGATGAAGTTGAGAGAATGTGGTTTAGCGGAAGGAGTCAACTCCTCAACTGCTTGCAGGCTTGAACAATTCTTCCAAAAGATAGGAGAAGTTAAGAGGAACTTGTGGCAGCATATTACTGCTGAGAAAACTGTAAAAGAATGCTGAAGGCACCACTATTACAGGCAGGCATTCTACCATTTTCCCTCTTCTGTTCTACATTAATGGCAAGACTTAAGGACTGAGTGCAAACAGAATGGCACATAACAGCAGCACATTCAACTAGAAGATGAAGAGACAAGCTTTAGCCCTATACAGCCACTGCTTCTTCCTCTCTTACCAGTGTAGATAGAAGCTTCTCTGGCAGCAACAGGCATGTTGGAAGTGTTTGCTACAAGAGCAGTTCTCTTCATAATGCTTTCTATCTTGCCATCAACTTCCATTGTGAGCTATAAAGACAAAAGGGAACTGCTCAAAGGAAACAGTATGCTTAACACAATGCATACTTCTGAAAAGAGGTAAAAGGACTTCAGTTACACTAACAATTCTAAATGGATTGCTTCAGAAGATTAATCCCAAACTCACGGATGCTCCATAGTCCTCTGTGCTCATGCATCTTTAAAAATGCATTGTGATTGTTCCAAAATGTTATCCTCAACAGGAGCCAATCCAGGAGCCCACTCTGACAGAGACCTTTGAAAGCACCCAAATATGAAATAACCTCAGCATCACAAAGGTGCACAGCAGCAGGCTCAACTCGGTTGCTACTTTGCTGGTTGAACATTGCTAAAAATCATTTTGACCATCACACAGTAACACTGACCTTAGAAGGTAACACGTGTGGATAACTCTACAATGAGGGTTGAAATGTGGAGACTGAAGGCAATATATATGTGTGGATAACTCTACAATGAGGGTTTAATTCTAAACTCACAAGCATTCTTATAAGAACAGAGTGGATTTCATACTGCCAACTCTGAAGTCTTACAAAATATTTATATATAATGACCTCTTCCATATAGCTAGCTATTGCCACATTTCCAACTGATGAAGCAACATGGCTTTTTGTTTGCAAAGCATTCCAAAGTCATTTTGGCAGTGTATACCAAAATGTGGCAATATTAAATGTAGCAATGTTCTGTTCACCTTCTGCACTGGCTTTAAAGAAAAACGAAGGGGTTGGGGTGGGGGGAAGTTAACACCTAAAGTCCAGATATGGCTAAGATCAAAGGAAAATCACTCCTCAACTTAGATCATCCTGCAGAGTAGGCCAAGTGAACAGTGGTAAATCCAGCAATAAATAAGTGAGCAGGCCAATCCAGCAATAAAGTTATGTAGTGACAATCCTCATCTTTAGAGCTTTAAATCAGACTGTGCGCTAAAACTGAAATCCATTTCAGTTGTTACTTTTATAGAGCACAAAATTTTATAAGGCCTATTCAATTAACTTTACATTTTGTTTAATATAAGGCAAGCAACTGCACTAGATTAGCATCCAAATGGTTCTGAGCATCACAAACATTTTCTGGAAATTGTTCCAATTGAACATTTTCTGAGAAATGCATACAGTTCTTTAGACCAAACCATATCATGGCAGCAAGACCTTACTCTGAATTTCATTTGAACATGATATTCAATACAGACCTCTGGGAAGTCTCTGAGCACTTCAGACATTTCATTTCCTCGTTCCCCACAGCCTACATAGATGATAACATCACTGTTGGAATATTTTGACAGAGACTGAGAAATCACAGTCTTTCCACAACCAAAAGCCCCAGGGATAGCTGTTGTACCTCCTTGAACACACCTAGATGAAAAAGGCAGGGTGGAAATGCAAAGCCAGAAAAATGCAACAGACAGCTGGTAGAATGGAATCACTTTATTATGCTAACCACCCTTTCTGCGGGAAAAGTTTCTGTCTAGCTTTGTTAATAGTGTGTGTTAACTTTGAAAAAGACTTTAATTGAAACTTCTCAAACCATACATTTAAAAAATTAATTAATTAATTAATTAAACACATCATTATCTTTCCAGAACAATGAACTAAAACAGGGGGGATGTGTGAAAGGAAGGCTTTGGGCCCCTGCATTTCCTGTTGCAACAAGCCAAATAAAAGAGAAACCCATTTTCTATTGAGGATGGCAGGAAGAGCAGCTGTACACTCCTAGCCCTGTACCCTCTTCCCCCTAGCAGGGAAAGGTGGAAACAGAGTGAGAGGGATCCCATCATATTACCTGTCCTTCTCCACAGTGTTTCCCTCAGGCACAGGAAAATTTTACCTGCAGTGTGCCAGTAAAATTCCCAGAGAGATTAACACATCATACAAACATTTCCAGGTTCAGTCAAATGTCTCTAAGAGGGTGGAAGACTGCTAGGAGTAGGTATCTAACAGCAGGATGTTTTTCAGCCTCTTGATACCACAGGGCAATTCTGTTCAAATGGGGCATCTACAGAAGCAAAGACACCAATTCTGGGGAAAAGCTGATGTTCACAGTAATTACTTCATTCCTATATTTCACATCTCCATCAACAGAGGGTTATCCTGGATGGGTTATTTGCCAACCCGATCAGAAGTCAAGGCCATGCAATAGCAGAGGGGTTTTGTCCCTTCCTTTGGGAAGAAGATCTAAGTTAGGGGATCCTGCCTTGTCACTTTGGGGTACAAGCTAACAGACAGCTAGATGAAAAGACTAATTCCAGGAGCAGCCACAAAAATGTTTAACAGCACAGAAAGGAGAGGGCAGGAAAATTCCTTGGTCTTTTACTAAAGTCCTGGAAGCCAGGGCAACCTTAAAGGCAGTGAATTTACTACAGGTTGAGTCCAGTGTACCTTTCCACTATAGATGAGAAGCAACCTTTCTCTATCTGTGTAGGTGGGTTTCCCAGGCTTGCTCCAGAGCATTGCACTACCCAGATCTGAGGCAGAATGTGCTAGAACATCCTCCCACCAAAACCAGTATTGGCGGGAGCAAAGGTGTACAACTGAGCAACTTCAAAGAAAGAAGCAGTGGTCCAGGTGGCAAGCCACACACTTCTACCAGAAGTACTTATGAAGAATGCTGCAGAGGGATTTGCTCAGTGTTGTAAACCCTGAGGCCAGGAGTAGGCTCTGGGCCTCATATGTTAATGAGATCCTGGCTTTCATCTACTTTTCTAAAATGGTTTTGGATACTTCTTTGTTGTCAGATTACAGAATTTAGCCATGCACCTATGGTAAATTTTCAATACTGTGTACCAATCTGCTATTGATGGTCTTAGCAGAGTTTTGGCTTGGGTGAGGAGGGGAGGAAGGATATGGTAAAACTTTTCTGCACCCTGTGAAAAACAAAGAACAAGGTTACCAAAAAATGTGCACGCTTTCAAGATCTCCCCCTCAAGCAAGATGTTAACAAAATGGAGAAAGTGGGGAAGAAAAAATTGGTGACTTCAGTATAAAGTTACTCTTCTCCCTTGCTAGCAAATCTACTTTTCATAATATCTCAATGATGACATTGAGGAGATCTCAAAGCCTTGCACATTTTCGCGAGGTACAGATATTGCAAACTTATCACTACAGTGAGAATTTTTTCCCCCATCATACTGTATAGCATATTTGACGATTTCTACTGTAAAAGCAATGTGAGGGAAAAAATCTTATCACAGCTACTACTTACGGAAAGAGTGCATCAAGGACTCTCTGGCCAGTTAAAAGAGGATGATTGGCAGGTAATTTTTCTGTGACAGGGCGGACTTGCCGTACTGGCCACACCTGGACCATAGTAAATTTCTCTTTCGCTCCCTCAAATTCAAGCTCTAATACAACATCCTACAAGAGAGTAGCAAAAGCAAGGGTCATCAAACATAACCTGAGTTGTAGCGGCAAAAAGCCAATCAAACTAGAGCAAGACAAGTTTATATTAACTTTTATTGGTGGGTAAAGACAGCAGGGCAAAAGGAGCAAAGAGATTTGTCAATGGTTGTACCAAGCGATCATTGTAGATGATATGATATATTATTACAACAAACATTTATATCCCATCCTTCTGACAAGCACTCAGGATGGCTTACACAGTGTAAAATATTACAATTGTACAACAGTACAAATTGCATAAGGTTAGATCATTCAGAAATGAGCAGCGACATTTAAGTTACAGCATTTTAGCCCAGAGCAATGTCATAAGGAACAACCAGCTTCAACATAAAAGTGAGTCAAAGATTTAAGTAACACCAAAAACAAATAGCAAGGGAAGGAGGCAACAAACATGAATCAGACAGACTGATGTGCAGATCAAGGCAACGTTAACAGATGTATATACCAAGAAGCACCAGCACTGGTCCCCCAGTTCTGCAGGACTTTCCCCTGAATTACCCTTTAAGTTTCATCTTCTGAGCCCTGTCTTTTTCCTTTAAGATTTACCTATAAGATGACTATTTAAACAACTCTACTTGGTCAGAAATGCATGCATTTCAGTGGGACTCTGCTGGCTGTAGTGAGTCCCTTTGCATTTTCCTTCAAGAAAGATAGGAGTGCTTTAATAGGACAGGCCCTATTCCACCCCCTTCCTAAGAAACTATACATTCCTTTTCATAAAATTCTTTACCTGAGAGCAGTACTTCCAGAGCATGCATCACTACCTGAACGGGCACAATTGTCTACACTGAGGACAATTAATCCTGTCTTCCAATTCCAACTCTGGGAATTTCCCCATTATCAATAGGGAAATGTTCCCTCCAATGTAGTATTTATTTGTTTTATTTCTATACAAACCAACAGTCAAAACTCTCTGGGCAGTTCAGAACCATTTAAAAACACAAGATACAGAATAAAATACCCTACATGAGTTATAAGTTTAAAGCTACAGTATAAAATAGAAATAAAAACTAGAATAAAACCTAGCAGTAGTACAAAGATTTAAATATACTACAGGATTAAAGACAACAGAAGCAGTCTGAAGCAGTTCCAACAGAATGTAAGACAGAGTGTGGCAAACTTAACTTGGTGAAAAACTTACAGATGCATCATAATTTCCAGCTGGAGCAATGTATGTGACTGTACCCCTGTTTCGTGGGGGCAACATGATTTTGTGTTTGATAAGGGTATTCTCATTCACTAGGCCATAGATATCTCCACCAGTGATATGGCTGCCAATCTGCAATTAGAAAAAACTGCTAATAAGATACACATACATATGAGCTATTACTGGCATCAGCACTGCAGTGCCCATGAAGTTCTATTTCACCCAAAAAGCACCTTGCACATCAGAAGCAGGGTCAGATGCAGCTGCTGTTTTCTACCCAATCTCCAAATCCTCTCCACTTTACCTGTCAAGGGCTGACAGCATTGGAGAACAGAAAAATAGCAGAGGCTGCAGTGGTCATGCCTAGTGCTGTAAAGAGAAGTGCTGAGCCAAGCTGCCAAGGCTAAGTGAGAACACCTTTCCCACCAGCAGCTTCTTAAAGCAGCACAGCTTGTGCCATGCTTGCCCCCTGCCCTTTTTCTCATCCTTTCGTTCTCAAAGAAAAATCTCAATATCCAGCTCCTTTCCTCCACATTTTTTGAACCGGGCTTCCCAGCTGAGAATCAGAACCACCCAAACCTCCAAGTGAGGGGTGTGGTCTCTTCTCATTGCCTTCTTTATCCTTCTGGCAACTGACTTTTCAATATTTACTATGTATGCACGTCAAAAATATCTTATGCATCATTACTCAGAAATATGCTCTCTAAATGTAATTCTCCCCAGCTAACTGTGCACCAGGTTATTATACATCTTCTCCCTGCTGCTTCACATCATCCATACTGGTTATTTTAAATCCTAGTTCAATTACTGCATTCACTGTACCAGCTGAAACATCTGAATGGCTTTCCTGTAACTTACCCGTAGGTTTTTGACAGGGGAAAACTCCCATTTGATATCTCTGCTTAATGCTGTCACATTTATTCCTCTGGGGATGTAAATGCTTTGGGTTTGAAAACTGATGTTTGTCAGAGGCCTCTGGATACCATCAAAGATGGAACCCATGATGCCGGGGCCAAGCTCCACGGAGAGTGGTTTGCCAGTACGAAGCACAGGGTCTCCTACAGAAACACCAGCTACAGTTTTGCTAAGGAAAACCACATTCTGAAAGATAGTGGCAAACATAGCAGAAGGCATTTACTGGTTGGCTTACTAACTAACCAACTTGAGGAGGTGCAAAGTCTTCTTGTAACACAACTCACATTTTAACCATTTAAGTAGCAAGGCTCCCATTCTGGAAAAGAATGCAGCATTCTCGCAAAATTTGGATAAGACATACAAGATGAGAATTAAAGTTGTTGCTACTCAAGACTGACTTTGCTTAAGCCACCCAAGAAAGATTTGCATATCTGAAAAGTGGGCAGAACCAGAATCAAGAAGCAATTTTTGTCTCATGGAAAGGTACCACAAGAAATTATAGCTGAAGTAAGCCTCTAGTAGTTACAAACCTTGATGCCTGGAATCAAAGTTTTGTGATCATTTTAATCTCTGTAATCTTCTTAAGATTTATATTAAATTGTTATTGCAAAATGCCTTGAGACTCATGATGGATGGGCAGGAGTACAAAAGTGTTAGTAATATATTTCAATTTTTAATATTATTATTTTATTTATATCCTACCTTTTTCCTGCAAGGAATTCAAAGCCATTCACATAATCCTCCATAATCATTTTGTCCTTACAACAACTTTGTGAGTCAGATTAGGTTGAAAGTTAGCGACTGGCCTAGTGACATCCAGTGCTGGAACTCAAATTCAGATCTCCTGAGTCCAGTGCTCCAACAACTATGCCATACTGGCTTCATTAGAATTATAAGTCAGACAATTGTATAATGACTCCTCCAACAGATTCACTCAGGACCTGTTCTAGCTTATAGATAACCATTTTGCTCCTGTTAAAGTCGCCATTCTCAAGATCTTTCTCTTCAACAGGCCCCTAAAAAGACAGAAGTGACACAGCAACTAAAAGGATACAGGTTTCCTCATATACTTGGATAGTTGCCATTTCACCCTCCAGTCGGATAATCTCTCCCACAAGTTCACTGTGGCCAACTCGTACGAGTTCATACATCGCTGCACCTGCCATATTACAGGCAGTGACAACTAGGAAGAACAAGAAAAATGTTGAACACAGATAAAATCATAGTTTACTACTGGGTAACTTTGCATTTTTTAAGCTTCTGCAAAGCTGGCTTTTGGAACTCTGTTCCTAATTGTGAACGGAGTGCAAAACAGTCCTTGAATTTGGACTCTCCTCCATACAGAAAGGTATTGAAGAGGTGGATTTTAGCTTAGTCTTCTCCAATATTCTAGTTTTGTATGTGGAACGAGCTCAAGGTGCAGTTGTTAGATATTTGAGCAAAGCTAAGGGCTATTTTTCCGGATGTCACAGACACTGATGCCTCCCTAAAGCAGGAGAGCCCCCCGAACAGTATTCCCCTTTCTCTTTGGACATCTGCTTCTCAAAAAGTCTTTGAAACATTTAGTACTGAATTATTACCCTATTATGAATTGAAGACATTCATAGGGTATATAGGGTAATATAATTATTACCCTGTTATAACGTCAGGAAAGACGTTCTTTTCATAAATCGAATATATTTACTCATTTCTTCCTTGGCCTATTTTAATAAGGTTTTTTCCTAACTGAACTGGGAGAGTCACGGCACCTTCATAATACAGAAAGTGGGAAATAAAAAGCATATTCTATGCATGGGATTGCACTTTATGCAAAATATGTTCTTTATTTCCTTATCTCTACAAGCTTATGTTAAATACACATTTCTATCCAGATCACAGATCTTTATTTGGCACATATTCTCACCAAAAGCAAAGGAGGTGGATGTACTGTAGAATTTAGCATGGTGCTAGGGTGCTGGAAGACATGCACTTACATAGCTAGATGTTTATAATGAAAATAAGGCACTACAGTTATAGAACAGTGTTCCACATAAAATCAGATGCAGATCACCTTAGCCCTTCAAGGCTGATAATTTTTCTCTAATACTTAACAATACTGAACTGTCAGTATTAGGTTTCACTAAAACAAACCTGACAGTTTTTATATCTACAGCTATCACCGTTAAGAGCTACACATTTGTGGTGCTTACCATGTAGTAAGACAGTAACCTAAGAAGATTTATCTGGCCATATATACAATCACTTAGATCAGGGGTCCTCAAACTTTTTAAACAGGGGGCCAGTTCACTGTCCCTCAGACTGTTGGGGGGCCAGACTATAGTTTTAAAAAAATGAATGAATTCCTATGCACACTGCACATTAAAAATTAATTAAAATTTAAATAAATTTTAAAATTAATTAAAATTTAAATAAATTTTAAAACTAATTAAAATTTAAATAAATTTTAAAACTAATTAAAATTTAAATAAATTTTAAAACTTAAACAAATAAATTAAAACTTAATTAAAATTTTAAAAATAATTTTAAAATGTTTGCTCTGCTTGCTCGTGAGACAATGTCCGTGATCATGCGGGGGGGGGGGGGGGGGGGGGGGGGGAGGCGGGTGCAGTCATACAGTCTATCTCCCCCTCCCCCCCGCATGACCACAATCACGCCCATCTTCCCTGCATGAACGTGACTACAGCCATCTTCCCCCACCCCTGAAAGCACGATTGTGCAGGGAAGATGGGGCGATTGCGGGCATGCTCGTGCAGAGAAGGCGGGCACGATCGCAGCCATCTCCCCCCCAGCATGACCGCAATCGCGCCTCTCTTCTCTGCACGAGCACAACTGTGATCACAGCCATCTCCCCACTCCACCCCACCACCCCCAAGCATGATTGTGCAGGGAAGGCGGGCGCAATCGTGGGCACACTCGTGCAGGGATTGCAGCCATCTGCCCCCCACCCCCAAGCACGATCGGGCCATCTTCTCCCTCAAGCACAACCACAATCACACCCATCTCCCCACTGAGTATGCCTACACCAGCTCAGAGCTTTTGGACTTACTCAGAGATCATTTTCTCCGAGCGAGTCCAAAAGCTCTGAGGAGGGCCGGATAAATGAGCATGGCAGGCTGTATCCGGCCCGCAGGTGGAGGACCCATGACTTAGACCAAGGATAAAAGCACTCACCAGGTCCTGAGACTCCAAAGACATACCCAAACAAGTCTTCTCTGTCTTCATCACGAATTTTGGGAAGTTTGCTAAAATCCATCTTAATTACTCAACTTGCTAGAAGGGAAGTGAGCAAGGGGGGAGAATTTTATTTTTCAAGTTTACAAATTACATTGTTACCATATTAGTCTGCATCAAAGTGATGCTACTTATGAATATCAAAAAATTGAACATTCAAGCATAGTGTGCACTTCCTCACTGTTTAAATTTTATTTTTGGATACACAGAGACCAGAGGAAAGAACCAGAGCATTAGCACACAGAGACAGCATTCTGTTCAGTTTCCTGTATCATTTGCTGGTTTCCGTGTAACACAGATGTGCAATCACAACTGGAAGTTCAGCAGCTCTAGAATGAATCTATTATTAAGGGGGTTCTCACCAGTAGCCCTGTACAGGTTATTCCAGAGTTACAGACATTGCTCTTGAGGATCAAATAGCTGCTGAAGATCTCTGAGTGTCTGCATTGTAGAGTGCATTGTAGAGTGTGGTAATCTAATCCCATCATTACTAAAACTACATTGATGCCTTTATCACAATTGATTTTTCTGGTAACAATTCCAAGCAGGACAGATGGGCAAGGCTAACCAAAAATATCCACTATAACTTTCTTCTTCTTCTTTTCTTTTTCTTTTAACCTTTACCTATGGTCACTGAAGCAAAACCACATTGCAGAGTATTCTCTGCCTACCTTCTACAGCAGCCAGAATACCAGAAACAGGGGACTTGCAGAGACCTATGGGATTGCCAGTGGAGATGTGCCTGATCTTAAGACATACATATTTAGTTCCACAACCCCAATGCTGACTAGCTATAGGAAGAGGTCTCCTTTCTTGATTTAAACAGGGATGATCTGGAATTTAGGCACTAACCAGCCAAAAAGAAATGACCTTTTCTCAAATTGGAATAAAGGTGTATGTTATAGGTACAGTTACCTTTTAAAATAACTCAATGTCCAAGCACCGCCCAAGGGAAAGTGAGCAGCATGCTACATATGTACTTGAGTCCCAGTCAACTGAAACAGCTGATTAGAATCCTCATTCTCTCATATTATTTAAAAGATTAAAAGAGTATAATATCTGCTAAATTTATAACACATTTGAAACACTGAAATTTGAATTTACAGTAGAAAAGGTTTAGTAATAATTCCTGGTACTGGAAGTATACTAACACGAAGAAAAATACATAAAATGCCCACTACACCAAGAGAAGGTATATAATGGCAATTAAGTTAGCTTTTTATCCCTCTTGGGCTCCCACAAACTGTTACCTTGCATCTCGCTATCATGCAGCATTCATAATGCAATCTGCTTATTACTATTACTATTGAGGCATTATGCTCAAAAGGGTACAAGTACACACATAAGAGGCAAAGGAACAAGCAAGGCAATTGTCAAAACTTCCCACTTTGAAGGAGGTCTGCGCTGAGGTTCTAATTGTGCTCATCTGAACTTGAAGTTGCTTAAAGAAAGCACCTTAATTTATCTGGGTTCTTAATCATGCAAAGGGATCAGAGAGAATGGAAAAAGAGCAGATGTTTGAGGATGAATGGGGCTGGCATTCATGGACCTGCTCCAGTTTTACATTTTGTTTGTAACCTCTCAGCATACTGCCTGAGCATGGCTATGCTGTTTTTAAAATGTAGCCATGTTAATTTATAATACTTTCATCCATAAAGTGGCATGTTCATTCACTTAGATCAATGTTAGCTATTGAACAATTCAAAAGTGCTGTGCCTAACAAGGAATACCCCAAGATAAGCTTCTCAGTACTTCCCTCCCCCAGGCTTGAATGCTAAAGCTTCACAGCTGCTTTTGATACACAGCTTACTCAGATGACACTGACAAATCTTTTATCTATGATTTTTAGAAACTGAATGTTTATATTAGTACAAGGCCTGTCTGAAATTAAGATGTCTTTTGTGCCTAAGTCAAGATTCTCTTCAGAAGTGAACACCCTCGAAGCAGCATATGGTAAAAATACTAGAGGATTCTTACCTTGTGGGGACAAACAAATCCACCAGTCACAAGAAGGAATCCAAACCAAGCTCTTAATCAGACGTAACAAATGATTGCCTTATGTATGTTAAACTCACAAACATATATAAGCATAAAGAAATATTGGTTGATCTGTCTGTCGCTGCATCTCTCACACTCACACATGCAGACATAGGTGTGGAATAGTCATCTGACCAGATGACTAATCAATCTCTCTCCAACAGGATGACTGCAGCTGCAAGTCACATTGCTCAAGGCCCAGCTAAATTCAGAGCATGCCCCCTTCACACTGTTCAAGTTAATGGCAAGATAAATTCTCACAAGTAATTTTGAAAGTTCTTGAAGAAGAGGCATATGTTCTTTGCAATGTTGATCAGAGTATGAATTTTCAAGTCAAAACACAAAACTCATTTGTTATGCTCATAGTCTTCAAAGCTGTAAAAAAAGCTAGTGATTGCAAGAGTAGCTGCACTGCTTAGAAGCTACTATTTTCTAAATACTGAGTTTAACAGCAGCAATTACCATGATACAGTGAAGTACTGAGATAAATAAAAGGGGACCCTGTGAATTGATGCAGTATACATTTTGCCCATATTTTCACTTAAACAAAAACATTTTAAGTTTCAAAGGGCATATTCTACAAAGGAGTATATTTATTTGTATCCTACCTTTTCTCCTGCAAGGAACTTAAACTCGCTTACACAGCTCTTCTCTCCATTTTACCCTCACAACAGCCCCATGGGGTGGTTTGGCTGAGAGTCATTGACTGATACTATAATTCAAATCTGGTTAGAGGGTGTTCAGATATTCATGTCCTGTTTGTAGTTTCCTGTGGCCAGCTGTTTGGCCAGTGTGTGAAGAAAATGTTAAACTAGATCATGGGTCCTCAAACTATGGCCCGCAGGCTGGGTCCGGCCCACCATAGCTCCCCACGCATGCCAGCTTGCTCGGAAGATCATTTTGGACTCATTGGGAGAAAATAATCTCTGCACACGCATGCCCCTGACTTTCTGCCTGCGGACGTGCCCCCCATCTGCACCGCCTTGGCGGCCCACACCCATCTCTGGCACCTTTCAATCGGCCCCCTATTCAAAAAGTTTGAGGACCCCTGAACTAGATGGATCTTTCATCTGGTCCTGTATGGCTTTTCTTATGTTCTTCATTAACATTAAGATTACTGTAAGCTCTGAAGGTTGCAGTATAAAAATCAATTTAAGGGATTTGTTTTTCTTATCCAAGTAGATAAATATTGCCTAGGCTTTAATCTATTAGAAATCATTTGAAAATTATTCTAATCCACGGGAATTTTCAAATATATTCATTTTATTACTGTAATTAAAATGTTGTAAGTATGAAAACCACTGCAGGTTTTCTGAAACTTCTCTGGTTTAAGCATTCCAAAAATGAATCCTCTAATGGACAAAACCTTCCAGGAAGGAAGTGCAGATATGCCCAACAAAGACTTAGGTTATTTTCATTTCTCAAGCATGAGACATACTGCAGATTTAGACAACTCTTGTAATAATATGGTGTGACAGCATTCTCACTTCAAGAAATGACAATGAGAAAATGCTATATTGCTCTGAGATATTCCAAAATATGGGGCATCCATGAACCCATTTGGAGGATTCAGATAAAAAAAGTGAGAGAGTTGCAGAGCTTCATGTGCTAGTTTCCTCTCCACACTATCCATCACTTATGGAACGGAGATTTAATACTACCAGTGGAAAGTCAAAACAAGGGGAGTGTTCCATCTAGGAAGGGGCAGGTCAGTAGATTTGCATAGGGGAGCTCTCACAACCTGTTCTAATCCAGAAGTGAAAGTTTCTACCCATTTTGGGGCTTCCTGTAGTAAGATGAAATTTAAGCAATGCAAAAGAATTGATTGTAAAACTTTCTTACAAGAAATCACAACTAATCCTACTAATCTAGCTCATGGTTCTTCCAATCCAATGAAAGAACACTAGTTAAGATCAGAAACAATGACTAATGTTGAAACATACACACATGATTTTCTATTAAGCCTATTATTCAGCTTGAGTTGTTCCATTCTATCATAAACTGCCACACAGCTCAAGGAGATTAATTTTTCCCAGACCAAATTAATCACTGAGTTCAGGGAAAATATCTGTTTTGGTTCTTCCACTCTTGCAGTTGTCCTGTATGGAACTATATTAAAACAGCTATAAGAAAATGTGGACCCTGTGCATGGCTGTGAAAAAGATCAACTCTGTGTTAGGCATAATTAGGAAAAGAACTGAAAATAAACTTGCCAATATCATACCACCCTTATTCAAATCTATGGTGCAATCACTTAGAATGTTGCGTACAATTCACTTTAAAAGGACACTGTTGGAAAGTATAGAGAAGGGCAACTAAAATGATCAGGGGGCTGGCACAACTCTCTTATGAGGAATGGTTACAGCAACTGGGATTGTTCAGCTTAGAAAAAAGCTGAAGAAGAAGAGACATGACAGAAGTATAATGAATTATGCAAGCTGTAAAGAAGTTTGACCATGAAAACATTTTCTCTCACTCTCATAATGCTAGAACCCAGGTCATCCCATGAAGCTGATTGGAAGATTCAGGACAGATAAAAGAAACTATTTCTTCACATACAGTTAAACTATGGAATTAACTGCCACAAGATGTAGTGATGGCCTCCAATCTGGATGACTTTAAAAGGGGGCTAGACAAATCTATTCAGGTGAAGGCTATCTATGGTTACTAATCTTGATAGCTATATACTACCTCCAGAAACAGAGGCAATATCCTAAGTACACCAGTTGTTATAGAACTTGGGCAGGAACTTCCCTGCCAGAATTTCTGTTGGTATTGGCCCTTGGGAGGATGCATTTATGCTTGTGCAATCCTATGGGCAGTTGGTTTGCCACAGTGTAACAAAATGCTTGACTAGCTGAACTACCGTTGTACAAAGGGCAATCTGAATCAGTTACTTGTATAAATCGCAATTTTCACTGAACTGTGTCGACTCAGAGATGTTCAAAGGCAGAAGAAAAAAGCCATAGCTAATATGCTATGTGATATATTGTCCCCAATCAGATTCAATTCAGATTTGACCAGTTACCTGAATAGCCTAACAATTCACCAAAAGGATTAATCTAGTGCATCTGAGCTGGAATAGACACCTGGAAGTGCAAAATAATCAGTAAGAGATCATCCACATAAAATATAATTTGAAATTCTAGATGGTCATGCCTAAAGCCACAAATACTGCTATTCTGTTTAATGGCACCTATCAGGAGATCCAAAGATAAGTCAAATTCAGTGGAGAAAATGTACATCCTGCTTGGTACCTCTCTCAAGTTAAAAACTCAAAGACATTTAGTCATAATTCTAGATCTGGAGGTTGAATGTAAAATTGCAACCAGTTATACAAATTCATCAGGAAAGCCAGAATTACTCAGTGTGGCAAAATGAATTGCCACCGAATTTTGTCAAAGGCTTTTTCAGCAATCAAACAACGGCAGCCTGTTTATTTTATCAATTTTTAAGCTATTAAGAGTGTGATCCAATAGATTCCACCCTCGGAGCATGCAAGTTTCTGAATACACAGGACACAAGGCATGGTGGTGACAATCTCTGCTGCCCTACACCTTCTGGCTAATTTTCATCTACACCTTCTGGCTATTTTTCAAATAGCCACCTAGATGAAGCACTGTGGAGCAAAAAGGTGTCATTTGGTTCAGTTCAAATATTTGTCACTATTTTAGAAAACCTTTGATATATTTATACTGCACATAAAATTGATGTGGATTATATTTTAAATTCTGCTTACTAAATATGAGAGGTTTTTTGTGCTTATTGAGAAAGAATGCATGTTGGGCAATAAAAATTAGCCAAACCACATGCTCAATCATGTGGTTAAAACAGATTTTGCACAGGAGCTGACAATGCTATTGTGCGTATACACTCAAAATGAGAAATGAAAGAAAAAGTTGGCTTCTTTGATCTGAGTTTTAAATACAAAATTCTTTTCAAATTCCTCCCCTTGTTTTTGGGTTATTGATTACTGAACTTGTTTTTGGGGCAACACCTTGTTTATTCTCCTGCACCATTCAACAATGGATGGGAGATTTTACGCTATTCCTCCATTCCAACCTGGACAGATTTCAGAAAATGGTGCTGAAAATCAATGCCCAGTTTATGCTATAGGAGCTTACAAAGTTTTGCCATTTCTTCCATGCTTTTTTTTTTTTTTTTACAGAGTTTTGCCTTTTCTTCCATGGCACCTTCGCAAACTGGAGAGAGGTAACTAGTGGGGTGCTGCAGGGTTCAGTCATAGGGCCAGTACTCTTCAACATCTTTATTAATGATTTAGATGAGGAAGTACAAGGGAAAATAATCAGATCTTCAGACAATACAAAACTTGGTGGAATAGCGAATACCCTAGAAGACAGAATGAAGATTCAGGGTGATCTTTATAAACTTGAATGTTAGGCTGAAAGCAACGCAATGAGATTCAATAGGAGCAAGTGCCAATTCCACCGAGGAATTATTGTGGACAACAGACTAAATATTATCCAACAATGTGATGCAGCTTCAAAAAGTGCAAATGACATTTTAGATGCATTAATAGAAGCATTACCTCCAAATAACAAGAAGTAAGATGAAACTCAAATACTTTGGCCACCTAATAAGAAGAACAACTCACTAGAGAAGACCTTGATGCTGGGAATGATTGACGGCAAAAGAAGGGGACAACAGAGGTTGAGGTGGCTAGCTGGAGTCACTGGGGACCGGTGCATGTGGGCTTGGGTGGACTCTGAGGGATGGTGGGGGACAAGAGAGCCTGGAGGAATGTTGTCCATGGGGTTGTGATGGGTCAGGCATGACTTTGAGACGAAACAAAAAAAAAAGTTCCCCTATGCTCTTCACTAGTCAGACCTCATCTATAGTATTGTATCCAATTCTGGGCACCAAGATTTAAGAAACATGCAGAAAAAGTAGGAAGGGTTCAGAGGAGGGCAACAAAAATGATCCAGGGTTTGGAAACACTGCCTTATGAGGAAAGACTGAGAGAACTGGGCATCTTCAGCCTTGAGATGAACAGTAAGAGTGGGGACATGATATGCCTTTATAAGTGCCTCAAAGGCTGTCACAAAGAGGAAGGTCAGGAGTGTAGGACATGGAATAATCATTTCAAGTTGCAGTAACCCAGATATCAGGAAAAGTTTCCTCACTGTCAGAGCGATATGACAGTGGAACCAGCTGCCTAGAGAGGTGGTGGGCTCTCCCACACTTGAGGCATTCAAAAAGAAACTGGACCATCATCTGAGTGGGATGGTGTAACCTGGTGTACTGCAACAGCAGGGGGTTGGACCTGATGGCCTTCATAGCCCAACTCTATTATTGTATGATTCTATGAACCACTTGAGAACTTGTTGAAAAGTGATGTATTCTTCAAAATATTCAAATGTCTTAGTGATTCATCATTTTTCAAATTTCTGAAAGTTGCCCTTGCCATTCCATATGAACTTTCTTTTGCATCCTTTTGCAATCATATCACCATTCCTTTGACATCAGCATAACCACCGCATATAAAATCTTTTGCTTGTATGTCACTAAACTGAAAATGGTGATAAAATTCTGAAATCAGTTGCATGAACTCTCTAAGATGAACCAAAGCACTGGCAGGGCAGGGCAGAACAGGATGTGGAACAAACCCAAGTGAGGAAAAAAGAGGAACTCACTATACCCTAGTTTCAGGACTTCTATTAATTTCATTTGATAACCCTAGTAAAGAAACCATCAACAAATAGCTGCTTACTCTACCCATTGCTGCTTCATTAAGCAGGCATTAATGTCCCTTACAGAAAACATTCCCACAATTTCTCCCCTGCGACCAGATTAGAAAGACATAAAATCTCACCACCCACTTTGAATAGGCATTCAAAAAATCAGTGATCTTCCCTCCATACCCTTTAATCCTTGTTATATCTTAGTTTGAACAAGCCTTCCCCAACCTTGTGCCTTCCAGACACATTTGGACTGTAACACTCAGAATTCCCAGTCAATGGCTCTATTGGATGGGAATTCTGGGAATTGCAGTTCAAATGCCTCTGAGGGCCGCCAGCTTCAGGAAGGCTGGTTTAGTCCATAAGTCTGAAGGCAGACTACTTATTTTTGTACACCTCTCCAGAAGCCTTTTTGGCTAACAGGCAAGGTTTACATACTCAACTTGTAATACAAGCAATACCAAGCTACTGCTTTTACTTTTCATTTTTATCAACACTGCCTAACATTAGCATTTCCTTCTCCATTTCTGTTCATGTGAGAAAAGGACTGCACTCCTTATCTGAGCAACGGACCACAAGCCATCTTGGAAGAATTTGCCGAGCAGCACACGTAATTGTGTTCGTGATGTTATAAAACAAGGGCAAAAAGGATTGTACCAGTCATATCTTTTACAAGAGCAGCAATCTGGAAAACTAAAGAAAAGAAATCCCAATCCTCTCAAATTAGTTAGATTTACACCATGAGGAAATGACCAGGACAAGGAGCTCAGAGAAGGGGACTAGTCTGCAGCGCATCCCACCCCAACGAGATCAGATGCTTGTTCGTTTTTAGCCTTCTCAGCCATGTATGACCGGCTTGCCAGTATGAATCAGCTGCAGCTGATCCGTCGGAAACAGGCAGCCAAAATGTCGCCATGATAATCCTTTCCGGAGGAGGGAAGTGCCCACCATACGTTAGTACGCTCAAGATGTTAGTGAGGGCAACATTTTATTTTGCAGCCTCTGAGGGCCAGCGCGAAGACAGAAATGCAGGCGGGGAAGTTCCTAGGCGCTGGGCAATCCCAAACCCGGCCGAGGAACGGTCCCCGCGCAACTCTCCCACGGGGGAAACGAAGCAGCCCACGCAGCGACCCCCGAAGACCTCACCTGGGAGCAGCGACTGCGCCGGCGACCAACCCCCTCGCGGAGCGACCGTGAAACCAGCCGTAGCCACTCCGACCGCAGCGCGAATGGCTCCCCCCTCCCGTGGACTCAGCGCACCTGCGCCGAGGGAAGTGACGGGCTGGACTTCCCGGCGCATTTCCTGGGCGGGCCGCGAGTTCTGAGGGACTCCAGACAGGAAGATGAGACTTGTGTTTCATTGCTCTTCTCCGAAATAGACGTACATGCGTGGCAAAACTGGCAGACTGTTATTTCAGGCATGTGACATGGCCATAATTATTCCGTTGGTTTTTCTCTCACACAGGGCTTGGCCTGCAGAGATAGGAAAATGAGACAGCGAGACTCCACTTCCGGGTTCTCATGTATTAATCTCCTTTTGGGGGAAGTGAAATTTGTCCATTGAAATCAATGGGGGAGTCCAAGATTTCACCATAACTTTTGAGGAACTAGGGTGTACAGTCCTGAACAAAAGGTAGCAGCGGAATGAATTTTTAGCCATTTCAAACTCAGATCCATTTTTAAAGTTTGCAAAGATTCGGAAAAATAGCACCCCCCCCAAAAATCAAACCCAATGTAAATGCAGCCCGTTATCCCACATCGCACCATGCTTGTGTCTGAGAGTGCCAACGACAGCCCCGCAGTTACAGCCATTGTGGGCTGGGGTTAGACTGCGAGTGACTTAATTCTTCAGTATAAGATAATGCAAGTTTATTGCGGTTCGGCTGTACGACCACGGCTGGAAGAATCGCGTAGTCCAGCGCTGTTATTCCATGCTGAAAATGGGAGACTGGACTGAGCCTGAGAGAATATCATAGACGAGCACTACCGTGATATTCCCGTAGCGCCGACGGGGGCCCGTGACTGCGAGGGAAACTTAGGCCAAGGCAGCAGTGTAGAGATGGGCTTGAGACCTCAGAAAACATCACTTAAAATTGCCGCAGAATCAATGTAGTTGCATTGTGTCCGCCGACCGGTTTCCTCTGTCAAGATACAAGAACTAAGAAAAAGCATTTCTGTCCTTGCCGATATCTTATTTATTTATAATTTATTAAAAGCTTTTGTATGCCGTCCTATTATACAAGATCTCAGAACGGCTTACAATATGTAATGTTCTCTTTTTGTAGGACATGACTGCTTTGCCAAAATCCTGTCTTTTTCTCTGCACTTTTCCCCATTTCGGCCTGGGCGTGACACGGCGAGCTATCACGAGAACGAACTTCAGCCCCGCATTTCATTCTAACTGGATGCCTCGATTTCGAGAGGGAGACGCTCGCCCGGTCACATGCCCAAATCCGCAGTGGGCGTGGCGATGTGTAAGACGTGTCTCGTTGTGCTGCTCTGTCATCTCCAGGTTCCCATCGGGAAATCATGTTTAAATAACCTTAGGGACGAGGTGAGCGATGTTGGTAGACGTTCAGTGGAGAAATGCAAGATCTGTACGCAACTGTGCTTAGGTACCTGGTCTCATTCCCCTCCTCCTATTTTTTTTCTAACTTGAGCCTTCCTTCCTATGAACTTTTTCTTCTCTCAATTACTGAGTGGTGAATTCGCCCGGTGCTGGGACCAATTTTCTTTTTTTTAAATAGCAATTTAAATTATATTTTTAATTAATGAAATGGAACAGTAATTACATTCTTTCTGGTGAATTTCTGTTCTCATAGATAGGAGTTCAACACAGAGCTAAAGTCCTACTGTGGAAAGAGATACCTTAGGGGCCAATCCTATTTCTATGCATGTTCAGACAGAAACAGGCACCGCTAACTGGGGAATGCTGGGAATTGTAAGAAGATTTTTTTTGTTGTTACTGCTGTTTTGTCTAAACATGCACCTGATTGCTCCCTTATAGAACTTGATTGTCAGTAAACTTTCAAAATAAATAATAGATGGGGTGAGCAGTGTTACTTGAAGGCCTCTGAGAAAATTCCTTTACAGCACATCCGCTTTCTTGCTTGTCTCTGTTTCATTGCCCTTGTTCAGTCATCTCTAGGAGCACTGACACCCTAGGATTTGATTCAAGGAGAGAAGGAATATTTTGATATATAGGTATTCATTTTCTGATTCAGCCAAGAGTTTGTTTTTGGTCGTGGACATTAATGTGGCCCTATGTTAATGAAATGTTCAACATCAGTACTATGAGACTTAGCGACTAAAATACGTGCCTTGAGTGCTTACATTTTCTGTATTCTTTGGTTAATGCAAGAAAATGACCAAATGGAATAATGTCAGCTTGTGAACATCACTGATCCTTTCACGATAAAGTGTCTCCTCATATCACTGTGAAAGTTTTGCCAGATTGAGATTTCTATCTAGCACATTATGAGCTGCTTCAAGGTTTACTAAAGGTGGATTTTTTTTTCTTACTAATGCATACAGGGTTGACAAAAACTGAGCACAACTATCAAGGATAAGACATTTTGGAGGGAATGCATTCCTGAGTCTGAGATAATATGATGGCAAATAACAACAACAATGCATACAAGAGTCTCTTCATTTAGATTGCAAACCAGGAGTCTTTAAACATTTCCATTCCTAGATCATTTTCCCTTTTTATGTTTAATTTTTTATGCTTGCTGGTTCCCTGTTAACATATTATTGATATTTAACATAAAACGTTATGTTCATGGAATTTTCCTATCCTTTTTAATTCCTATTTTCTTCTTGACATTTTATTATTGTTTTTTTTTCAAAATAATAATGGGTAATAACAAATATGTGTGACTATTTCTTTACAGCCTTTTTATTATTTCTCTATTTATCCAAGCAAGCTCATCTGATAAACTTAAGACTCATCATACTAATAGTCACACCATAGAGTTCCATATGTCAAGTATTATTCATAGGATCTTTCAAAGCTGGGCAACACTTGGGAAATCTATGGCCAACCTGACTAAATTGTACTAGTTTTATCCGAGTTGTGCCCTTGAAACTGGCTTTCCTTTCATTTAGAATTTTTCTAATTTGTATAGCTGTTTGCTTGGCTAAACCTGCTGCAACACCAACCTATGATGTATTCATGGTGCAGCCATAGTACAGGTAGGTCAAGAAAAGGGGAAGTAGAAAACCTGAAACTGAGACACACCTGAAGGTTTCAGGAACCCATTGGTGGGTTCAAGCCCATAGTCTGACAAACAGTGATCTAGGACAGGGGTCAGCAACCCACGGCTCCGGAGCCGCATGTGGCTCTTGAATGCCTCTGCTGCGGCTCTGTCGCTTGTGTCACAGTTGCCGCTGATCTGCGGCCCGTGCCAGCACAGTGGCCGCCGATCCAAGGCCTGTGCTGGCACAGTGGCGTGGCCGGCACAGCGCTTGGATAAACTGAAGAAAAGTTTCTGAAGAAAACCAAACGTTTAATGATACTTGGGTAGATTCGTTTGCTTTTACTGCTGACAAACTTACAGGGTTTGCTGTTTAATGCATGCAGCCCTTTAGCACTGACTTTGACTCTTCAGGAAGCTGTTCTCCTATTCAAAATAGATGAAAGGAGTCCTACTAGTTTATAATGTAAGATTAAAAATAACAGTTTTTAGTGACTGAACAAGAGCTGCAACTAAATCATAATGAAGATATACATAGCATTAAGGTAAAAAATGATATATGCAGTGTTATCTTCATTTTAGATGTCAAAAGGGTCTTGCGGCTCCTGGTGTTTTCTTTTGTGTGGGAAACGGGTCCAAATGGCTCTTTGAGTGTTAAAGGCTGCCGACCCCTGATCTAGGAGCTTTTAGATGTAATTGTGTGTGTATGTTGGGGGAGGGGTGGAATCTGTCATGAATTAAGAGGACTCTTCTTTAATATTCTGACCACTCCCCCTCTTCCCTGATAGAATTAGCAGCGTAAGATAAGGAGTTCCAGAACTAGAGAAAGGCTCTTTAAGGACACTGGAGGGATATAGCTGGTTTTTGGCCCAAGTGTGGAGATATAATGTGGTATACACAAAAGAACTACCTTTCATCTTCAGGGAAGAGCAGAAGGTGTTGGAAAATGTACCAGAACTTCAAGCATCACATTCCATGTTTTAAAAGGGGAGTGGGAAAGGGGCTTATTTCATTTTGATTGAAGTACTAAATTTATATAGCTCCCAACAAGCAGATGTCTTCACAGCAGTTAAATATTTTTAAAAGTGCAAAACAATATAAAAAAACCAACATATTAATTATACTAAAATGTACTGAATATTAAATATTAAATATATTTATTGCAGATTTCAGTGAAACAAAACAAATCCATAACAAAGAAAGGAAGTCTTTTAACTATCAAAAGGATGTGATGAATCTATTTACATTGGTGGACTTCAATCAAAAAGTTGATTTTTACATTGGATCAGTTAGTGTGTCCTCATTATACGTTTTGTCATTTTTAGTTTTGTATGCAACTATCCATAGCTATTACTGTTATGGCTGAATGGCAATACTTGACATGGCAAAATTTGTTAGAATTGAAGTTTGGCCTTGTCACTTTCACAGCTTCAGAGTCTCCTTTGTATTGAAAGTACTTATAGAGGCCGATTAGATATATCATCCTATGATCTGCATTTATATATACTTATTATTGGTGATCAAATGGGAAATACAGGGTCAAATAGGAATAGAATAGGGAACTGGACTATCCTGTTTTGCCTAATCAATGGATTACCATTCTAATGTTTCTGTTTAAAGTGCCAATGGATCTTAGGTTACATCTTATTCTGGAAAAAATGTTTGTTCTGTGTTAATTGGATTACACAAGATCTTTAATAAGATTCTGTCTAAGTCAGCCAAAGAAATCAAAATTTTAGAAAAAAAGACTGGAAAATATTTTCTACCACTCAATAGGAATTCTATCACTACAATAGGAATTCTATCATTATATCAGTAATTCTATCTATTACTGTGTATCAAACTAAATAGCGAGGGTCTCATATCAAAATTTACACCTGTTCAGAGAGGTGCTAGAAAGGGCTATGTTTTGGCATCTCATTTGTTTAACCTATACTTAAATGACTTTGTCCCAGGATTATGTAATGTTACTACGTAATGTTTCTTTGCGGTGGCGCCCAGATTATGGAATGTGCTCCCCAGAGAGATTTGCCTGGCACTGAGTTTGTATTCTTTTCAGCACCAGGTTAAAACCTTTTATTTAACTGTTATTTTAAAAACTAATTTAAATTTTAATGTTTAACAGTCGCTTTTATTTAACTTATTTAATTTGTATTTTTGGTTAATTGTTATTTATTATGTTAAGATTGCTGTTTTATTGTGGTTGTTTTATTGTGGAGATGCCATGCATAAGGGACAGCATACAAAAGTTTTAAATAAATAATACTACTCATACACAACATCTGAGAAGTCAACTGGTACCTGCTTTCTTACATGCCAACATCATCTTACTCTAGAGAATTCAGATCAGTTTAAAATGAGCTATTAAAGCCTTTATTGTCTATTGCAATGAAGAACTACTGGAGATAAATGAAGATAAATCTAAAATTATGGTATTTCCCAAGGCAATGAGATAGTCCAAATTAAATGGAGGATTGGCACATATAAGCTGCAACAGGTTAACGAGTTTAGATATCTAGGAATTGTATTCCAAGCAAATTTAACATGGTTTAAGAATGTTAAATATCATAAGGACAAAGTCAATTTAAGCTTATTAGCCTTGAAAAAGTTGTTTTTATATTCAAGGAGCCCAGTATGTGTCATTCTGGTGCTGCCTCGCCTGTTATATGGTTCCCAGATCTGGTTTTCTGGCCCACTAGAGCAACTTGAAAAGCTTCGACAATTTCTCCCCCCATAAAATTCTAACTCTGTCACCCTGTATCACCTCTGCAAATATACAGCTTGAACTAGAGCTCCCTATCATTTTGACCTTGATTTGAAGAAATATTAACGGAGAGAGTAAGCCTGGGCAAATTTAAAAACTACAATTCAAAGCAGACTGGGCCTTGGTCTGAGAAAACTATTCTTATATTTACTGTATGTATATAGCAAAGATGCAGAAACAACAAATAATCTAATCAAAAGCAATTATGGTGGACAAGTGAAATAAAAATATAGTCATTCTCACCATAATGCAAAAGTCTCCAAGCATCAGTCAAAATTACAGTGGTACCTTGGCTCACAAACTTAATCCGTTGCAGGACTCTGGTTGTGACCCAAATTCATCATGAGCCAAGTTAAATTCCCCCATAAGGTTCAATGTAAATAAGGTTAATCCGTTCTGCAACTATTTTTTTTACTCACAAAAATTTGAAGCAAAGTGACAAAGAACAAAGATTGCTGCCATCTCTCCCCCCCCCCCCACACACACACACTCTCAGCGATCATGCAGGGGGGTGGGGGGAGGCAGGCACGATGCGTGGGGGGGAGGCGGGTGCAGGTGCACTAGGGCAGAGAACACAGGCGCAATCATGGCCATCTCCCCCCCAGCATGAACGTGGCTGACCGCGATCGCCTGTGCAGGGAAGGCGGGCACGCTCGCGATCGTCACCTGATGCAGAGTTTGCAACCTGCAGCAAAATTTTTATGAAATTTCCATTCGCAACCCGATTTGGTCGTGAACTGAGGTGTTCATGAGCTGAGGTACCACTGTAGTTCAGTGTAACTCTCACCACCATTTGTCTCCTGGGAGTCAGCATGCTCTTATGCAAGAAAGAGCCTAAAATCTCATTAAAGTACCTGCTCACAATCAAATAACCATAAGTGACCTCAACTGATTTGCTAAAACATTCATAAAATAACTGGAGAATCGTTAAGACCATGCACATTAAACATAGCAATAACATCCATATACTTCCCAGTCAGAATCGAAAAGTGACTATCAGGTTCAGTAATTGAACTGAAAAGGAGAGTTGCTTATGACCCTTCTATACTGAGCCGAAGTTTCAATTACGTAGGCCTCACCAAGCAAGTCTTTTTTCAACAAATGTTCATCTACAGCCATTGAATAGGTTTCTTGTTTTAAGAAACCCACACTGGTGTCAAGCTCTGAAAAAGGTCTCTTATCTGCATATTTAAATTCTGCAACTCCTTGTCATTCTTTGAAATCAGACTAAACAGTGAGAAAGAAGAAAATCTGTCTGACCCTCCACACATACAAATCTTGCTAATTCAACAAGAAATATCTACTTTTAAATGAAAGAACATATAAATAATATAAATCAAAATAAGAACAATGAAAACTGAAAGATTTAAACATTAAAATATGAAACAGCCAGCCTGATAATCAAAGCACTAAATTAAAAATTTAAATGCCCACTGAAAGAGGCAGTGAAGATGCCAGACAGATCTTCCTGGGAAGCACATTCCACAGATAGGGGGCCACTATGGAGAAGGCTCTTTCTGTGGTAGCCGCTCTTCACATCATTGTGGATAAAAACACCCAGAGAAATCTTCTGATATTAGCAATTGGGCAGGTACATATGGGAGAAGGTGCTTTTTCAAATGTAGGTTGGTCCTCAGCCATTTTGATTTTCAAGGTCAATACCAACACTTTGAATTTGCAACCAGGGCAGTTGATGTTAGCATGACAGTTATGCTCAAAACAGCCCAGTAAGCAGCCTCACTTTTGCATTCTTCACTAACTGGTTTCCAGGCTATCTTCAGCGGGAGATTACCTGTGCATGGATCTGTAACCAGCTTGTCTCTGTCCAGGTAACTGATATGAATATTATTTTATCCATATAGGGTATGATAAATCAGACAAAATAACAGCCGAGGGTTCAATTAGATATTTCTTCTGATCAGCCAGTGAGGTGTGGTGTTTGGAGTGCTGGATTGGGGACCTCGGTGATCTGAGTTTTAATCCCTACTCAGCCACAAAAATCACTGGATGACTTTGGACCAGTCACAGACAATCAGCTGAAGCTACCTCATTGGTTTCTGTTGTGAGGCTAAAATGCAGCTATGTAAGCTGCCTTATGTTCCTCATATGAGGAACGATATAAAGGCAATGTAATTAAAACAATAGCATCAATAATCACTCTGGATAATCCAAAAAAGCTCTGCAATGATGGTGGAATTTTTTTCTTTGCCACTATCATGGCCATAGAGTAGGTGTTATAATAGGTTGTAGCCTGTGTTTAATCAGATTTAGTGCAAATCTTCCCCCATCTCTTTCTGAGCTGTCTTCCTCTTCACTTGTATACCATGGTGCTCAGCAGGTTCAGCCAAAGCAGTGTTAAGGATGGATGTTTCAGCAGTCCTGGCCACCTCCCGATCCCACTGGGAGATCAAAGGTTTCAATAAAAACAGCAGCCATAACAGCAGGGCAATCCCCCAGAGCACTCCAGAATCCTCTGGCCTATCACCTGTGCTGTTCAGTGACTGACATACACAACCCACTTCAGTTTACCAGCTTGTTCCCCTGCTCATTGGTGCTTGGCACCCGTCATGTCCTTGCCCTGACTGTGAGAGTGGGAATGAAAAAGGTGGTAGAATGCAAAGGAAAAGAAAGATTAGAACAGTGAAAAATTTGCCAACGTTGGCACTAAAAAACCTGTGATCCAAAATGGCCTAAATTCACTTTATTGAGGCAGGTTAGATGGTTAATTTCCCCAGGACTGGAGGCAAAAGTGGCTTGGACCTATTTCCATTTCCCCCTCACTGGGGAAACTTGCTGTCTTGGACCACTGATCTTCCTTTTGTGGAGAAATGGTAGATACATTACTTGTACTTTTCTCCAAAGTACTTCTAGAAGCCATTCTTTCTTAGTAGTTCACCCAATGAAAACAGCCACAGTTTGAAATGAGAGGAGAGGCCAGAATACCTCTTGCAGTTCTAGCTGGGACTTGGGAGAAGTCCACCATGCAGTTAAGAGTAATATCTTGGAGGTGGTCACCTAGGTCATGTACTCATTGGCTTGCCCCTGCTAGTGTCCCAAGGAAAGAGAGCTATACAAAGTGTACTCTTCCTTCTTTTTCTTCCCCTGCAACCCCTAAACCAATTAATGGCAAAAAGGAGAGTTCTGATGAATGTTTCCTCTCTGACAAAGATAGGAAGATAAACTGGCTCTTATAGACAGTTCTCCTCCCATGAAGGGACTTTAGTCCTGCCTTCTGATTCCAAAGGTGTGGCTGATTAAGAGAACAATAAATGTGCAATTGAACATAGTCTAGACATGCTATTTCAGTTGCCTCTAGAAACCCAAGGGTTCAGTGCATCTACTTTTTAAATTATTAATCTATAAAAATAGCATTTCACTGGGGAAGATCCTGATGCTGGGAACGATTGATGGCAAAGGGAGAAGGGGACGGCAGAGGATGAAGTGGCTAGATGGAGTCACTGGGGCAGTGGGTGTGGGCTTGGGCAGATTCCAAGGGATGGTGGAGGGCAGGTGAGCCTGGAGGAATGTTGACCATGGGGTCATGATGGGTCAGACACAACTTTGAAACTAAACAAAAATAGCACTGCCAGTGCAAATACAGCCTGTTATTCCTATACTGCAGGTTGAAAGAAGCTCTGGCTGTGGGAGAATAGTTCCAATATAATTCCAATATTGCAACTGCAGGTGGGGGGCATCAGGCTGAAGGTGAAAGCATGGTTCACCACACTGCAGTACAGTCTAGTAGTATTTCAAGCTTGCTAGAGGACAGGAGAGAGAACCTTACAGCCCTGCAGTACTGCCAGTGTTCTTACTCCTACACTGAAGATTGGGAGCGCTGTGAATACAAGCTTGCTGTAAATGTCACAAGTGAGACAGTTTTGAGGCTTGTATGGATTTGCAGCTCAAAATCACCGCTACAAAACACTGGACAGATCGCAAACAAGAAAATTGCCCTCTCAGGCATCTTCCCACGCCAAATCCAGCGCTCAGTGGCAGCAGACGTTTCCTAATCTGTTGATTCGTTTCTAAATTGTCAGGTTCGTTGGCTGACCTCTTCACAGGCGTTGCCTTTGAATTATGAAAATTAAGAACCCCAAAACATGAAAGATCTCCCCCAAAGGCGGCTTGGGTTAGAAACAGCTGGGATTCCTCCCTTGACGGGTTCTTCGGGGGGCGCCACCTGCTGCCCAATCTGATAACCGAAATCTTTGATCCTCCGGTTGCTTGTTAAGCTCGCCTCTCACTTCCGGCCCGGGAGGGGCTGGGCGCGCGCGCGAGGCCGCCGAAATCGGAACTCGGCCAGGTGACGGGGCTGATTTCCCCGTCTGCGCAGGCAGCTTTGTTCTCCGCGCTCGGCGGGGCGGGGAGGCGAGCGAGGCCGCTCTAGGTCCTCGGCGGCCGGAGGGCGCCCGGAAGCGCGTCGCCAGGCCGCCACGCCGCGCGGGGTGAAAGGTCGAGTCCGCCGAGGGGTGGGACTGCGCACGTCGCGTGGTCGGTCGGAGCGGCCTGAGGCCCATGTGGAGCCATAACCGAAGCAGCCCAACCGCCACTGCCGAGCCAAGATCGCGGGGTCCTTAGCAGCGATGAAAGGGTGAGTGAGGGACCGGTGTCAGCCACCCCTTGCCGTTTCTAGCCAGCCGCCGCTTCCTGCAGGCAGCGGGCGAGCCTCGCTTTCTTCCCCTCGGGCTTTCCGGGCCGCCTCGGCGGGTCTTTGTTTCTCGGGTCCGGCCTCTGCCGACGGCGGGCTGATTTGGTCACTCCTCTACCTTCTCGTGAAGTGAAGACGAAGGGGACGCCTCGTGCCTTTCCAGGCTCCCGTTTTAGGGGGAATGTAATCGTGGATTCGGGGGGAAGTGCGGCAGCGGGGAGGGCTCGTACTCCCTGGGTCTTTCTTCGTTCTGACTAAATAGGCACGAGATCGGGTTGTAAAGCAGAGTGAGGCATGCTCCAATCCAGCACTCCCCTTTTCAGCAGGGAGCGTGTTGACCTACAAAGAAGAGTAGAGCGCTTTTAACTTAAACTGACACAGGTGAATGTTGTGCCATCTGTATAGATTGCCAGCTCCTAAGCACCTATTTTAAGGTGTAGAAGCCTGTTCTCCCTTCCATCTGTATGACACACACCGGGAGAGATCCATATATAGGGATTTAGGGATAAAAAATGAGTGGCTCTGAGATGGTTGAAAATCGGAAGACTAAGGGTGCAATCCTATGTCTGTTTAGGCTTAAAAAGCTAACGTTCTCTAAACAGCCATATAGGATTTGTTTTCTATCCAAACACCCTAAAGCGATCAGGAAATAGCCAAAGTACAAGAGCTTCCTTGTTCTGGAGAGATAGTGTGTTGCTTCAAATGATTAAGGTGTTATTTGTCTTTACACGTGTGACAGGAAAAAACTACAGATGCTTAAGAAAAGAAGGATTTCCTGATATATACAAACAAACCTTTTGAAATATTAAATCCATAATGTATGAACTCAGATTCCTAAATAGGACTGTTCTCCAAATCTTCAGTGCTTGTGCATTGAACAAGTGGTCAGAAGGCTTACAGTAGGCTGACTTTCCCTGTTCCCCAAAATGCTGCTTTGATTCAGACCCTTCCATGGCCACTGAGCTTTGGGATTCTTTTCTTACCTAGAGCTTAATTGCAAGCAAGTGGAACTTTCTTCCCAGAGCTGTATCACTTGGACTGTATTTCTCTGAGTGGGTTCCTCACACTCTTTGGCAGCTGCAAACAGGATTGGGGAGCAGTCTGAAGGTGAGCTGCCTGCCCCCAGTTTTGTGCCAGTTACTCAAATGACTACATTTCTTTATGAAGCACCAAAAATCAGATGAGGAAGAATCTTGGAGAGTTATATATCTGCACTGTGGTTAACATCTAGGACTTGATTTTTTAAAAAGATAAAATGTTGTTGGATGGTTGTATATGTTGAAAAATGATAGCTGTTTTTAATAGTAACCAAGATGAAAGCAAGACTAAAGGAATACTAATGTCACTGACTTCGAGAGAATTCTCAAAAAATAGTTGCATTCTGTTCAGATACTAATGGAGGAACTTTACAAATACAGAGTTCTTTGAAATTGAGCTGAGGCTTGTGTTGTCAGTGTGTCTTGACTCGTCAATAAATCAGAATTTGTTTTTAGATCAGTAATTTGTGTTATTTCCACTCAGGTCTTCATATTTGGAAATGGACTTTTATATTAGGGTAAAGAGCCATTTAAGCTCTGCTAAGGGTTTGTTTTGAGAAGGCAGAACCTTCTAACTAGTAGGAAATACCATAAGATGCACTGAATTGGTTATTCCTTTTAGATATTTTACAAACTAAAGGAAAAGTCCCATTGCAAGTTTAGACAATATAAAGGCCTAGAGCTCCCAGCATGGCCTAGCCATTTGGTTGGGGCATGCTGGAAACTGTAGGTCTTTTTTCTGTCTAGACTTGCACTTTGAATTGATATATTTATTTACAATGTTTCTTCCCAAAGCTGTCTGGGCAGTTCATGAAGGGTAAAGCCCAAGGTACAACAAGATAAGTATTAAATCTTTAAAAGTTGAAACAGTAGAGACCGCAGTAAAAACCAGAGTAAAAGCAGTGTAGCAATCAAAAACACACAGTGACATATTTAAACACAAACTTGAAAAGATCTGAAAAAAATAAAAGGTTTTCACTTGGCATGAAAAAGACCACAATGTAGACAGCCAGAGAGTCTCCTTGGAGAGAGCATTCTACAGCCAGGGTACCACCACTGAAAAGGCTTTGTCCTTAGTAGCTGCCCACCTCATCTCATTTGGTACTGTACCTGGAGTAGAGCTTATGAAGTTGATCTTAGCTTCTGGGCAGGTGTATATGGAAGGAAACAGTCTTTCAGGTAGTCCATTTGGTGCTTTAAAAGTTAATACCAATACTTTGAATTGGGTGCAGACATGGATTGGAAGCCAGCATAGAAATAAAGCACATAATTCATAATGAGCAATACAACAGTGGAACCAGTTACCTAGAGAAGTGGTGAACTCTCCCATACCAGAGACATTCAAAAAGAAACTGGACCATCATCTGAGAGAGATGGTGTAAATTGCTGCCCTGCAACCTCAAGGGGTTGGACCTGATGGCCTTGGCCTCTTCCAACTCTGCTATTCCACGATGATATACCACCCTACCCCAGTGCCTTCTCGCCCACCCCTATGTTCATTCTGCAGTTGCCCAGGGGAAACTTAAGGAGCAGCAAGGTTTGCCTTCCTACCTATCACCATTTGACAAAGGGGGGGCGGATTGCCAACTCTTGAGTAGGTTGCCATGATGGGCACTGTTTGCCATTGCATCCAGGTGAATGAGCTGGCCTCTCCCCTCACCAAAACAGGTGGCAGTTTGAATCCCAGAAGAGAGGGATTACTTGTAAATGGTGGAGAAACCGATTACTCCTAAATTTGTTTGTTTGTTTATTCATTCAATATATATACCACTACAATAGCCCATACCTGTGTGGCTTACAACAATTAAAACAGAACATTCTAAAACCAATAACAACAAATCATTAACTGTACCCAGACTATAAAATCATAATCCAACAGTATTAAAATACTACATTAAAACATTGAATAAAACAATTTAAATTAAAATCAACTATAAACCAGAAATGGGTTCAGTTAAAATCAAGTTACCACTAAAATCAAGTCTTTGCCTGGCACCAAAATGATAGCACAAGTACGTACTTAATGACTGCGAGATGTGTGGTGTTCCCTTAATCTTGCATGTTTCAGCTGTCAAAGGGAGCCTCTTGCAGTAGGCAAACTGCAAGGAAATTGACAAAGTGATTTGACACATAGGCAACTGTGCACACACCTGCCAAGACTGGAGGAAGAGTAATTCTAAGGAAGAGGAAAGCGGGGAGAAGGAAGTACACAAAAGGTGGAGGCAGTATTTTCTACTTAAAACATCATCCTCTTACTTTTGAACTGACACTTGTTACTGTCCTGCTGCTAATTAGCACTTCCTCAAGTCTACAGCAAGTCCAAATAGAGGAGATACTGGCTCTTTCCCCACCATTTTCATGGCTTCTGTTTATACCTATTACTGCATTCCCCCCACACCCAAATTCTTGGAAATATTTTCACAAATTTAAGTGAAGGGAAGTAAATGGAAGGGAAATTGGGGCAAATTTAGAGACTTCATTAAAAGGAGAATTTTGCTCAACTTAACTGTTCTAAAAGACAGCTGTGCTGATTTTTTAGTAAAGTATTTGACATACATTAATATTTTCATACTTTTGTTACCTGCCCAGAGAGCATCAGCTTTTGGGCAGTATAAAAATAAATAACAATAGTCAATGGAAAAATAAAGCTTTGATTTTTGGGTACTACATCTATTCCATTTATGCAATTTGACTTGTAAAATAAAATTGCCAAGGGATTTTGAACAGGTGTAACCAATACATTCAAGCCTACAAATTTCAAAGAGACCAAAAATATCTTTCTATCATTCAATACTGTGTGCAAGTTCTGAAAAAAGGGAATTATTATTCTGTATACCAACAAATTTTCTAATCACTTCAAATCAATTATAAATCCCCAACTATTTTTAAAGGGCTTTCTTTTACATCCTTTTAATTGTACTAGGTATAATAGATTTTCCATTTGTTATTAAATTCTTCAGACAGTCTTCTGTTTACATAATTGGTTAATTTTGTCATCACTGCATACTCTGCCAACTTATTTTTCCAATCTTCAATTGTTGGGGATTCTGTTGTTTTCCATTTAGAGGCAATTGTAATTATTGCTGCATTTGTCATATATTTAAATAACTGACATTCTTTGAGAAAGTCTCTGGCATTATATTCAAAAGCATATTCTTGGGACTCAAAGGAAACTTAATTTTAAAGGTTTTTTGTATTTTCACATGTATCAGTTTCCAAAATCTTTTAACCATATGTGGTCCCATCTACTTTATTACATTTCCACCATTTTCCATTATAGTCCTTATCTATTTTTTTCCTATATCTTTTGGAGTAATATACCACTGATAAAACATCTTACACCAATTTTCTTTTAGTGCTTGGCTAGCTGTGAATGCAATGTCTTTCTTCCATAAAGCTTCCCATTGACAAGGTGATATTTCTTCTCCAAGATTTTGCTTCCAAATTGTGATACTTTTCATGTCTTGTTGATTTTCATTATCATGCTGTAGTAACTGTTTGTGAAGTCTTCCTAATGATCATTTTGTTGTGTAATCGTTTTTTCAAAATCTGTTACATCTCTTACCTGATTGTATTTCTCCTTTCAATCTTGAAACCAGTTAGTGACAAGCTGTTCTATATTTTTCCTTCATCTTTTGAGTTTACTTTCCCCGCTCTCCCTTAACTCTTCCTTTTTCCTTTTGTATCATGTCCTTTGATTACAAAAAAGAAACTGTCTTGTCCTTATTGATTACATGTGCACTGCTCTGGGAACCTTTTTGCTGAAGATCATGGTAAATGCCTTAAATAATACAGAAGAGTGCGATATTAAATCCTACTGTGGTGTTGCTATCAAGACCCACAACTTAATCATGGAAGAACAGTAAAGTTGGGAGGGGTAATTACACATGATTTCCATTCATATCA